TTACAGGCACGCGCCACCATGCTCAGCTAATTTTTTGTAGTTTTAGTAGAGACGGGGTTTCACCATGTTGACCAGGATGGTCTCGATCTCTCAACCTCGTGATCCACCCGCCTCGGCCTCCCAAAGTGCTGGGATTACAGGCTTGAGCCACCGCGCCCGGCCCTTGTGTGTGTTTTTTTGTTTTGTTTTGTTTTTTTCTTTTTTTTTTTTTTTTTGCGACGGAGTTTCGCTCTTGTTACCCAGGCTGGAGTGCAATGGCGCGATCTCGGCTCACCGCAACCTCCGCCTCCTGGGTTCAGGCAATTCTCCTGCCTCAGCCTCCGGAGTAGCTGGGATTACAGGCACGCGCCACCATGCCCAGCTAATTTTTTTTTGTATTTTTAGTAGAGACGGGATTTCACCATGTTGACCAGGATGGTCTCGATCTCTTGACCTCGTGATCCACCCGCCTCGGCCTCCCAAAGTGCTGGGATTACAGGCTTGAGCCACCGCGCCCGGCCGGTGTGTGTTTTTTTTAAAGTGTTGGCCAGCAAGGTGGCTCACACCTGTAATCCCAGCACTTTGAGAAGTTGGGGCGGGCAGATCACCTGAAGTCAGGAGTTCAAGACTAGCCTGGCCAACATGATGAAACTGTCTCTGCTAAAAATACAAAAATTAGCCAGGTGTCATGGCAGGCACATGTAATCCCAGCTACTGGGGATGCTGAGGCAGGAGACTGTCTTGAACCTGAGAAGCAGAGGTTACAGTTAGCTGAGATCACTCCACTGCACTCCAGCCTGGGCAACAAGAGAAAAACTCATCTGAAAAAAATTAAAGTGTTTCAGAAGATGAGGAGGAAGTGAAACCCTCGCCTCCCACTGGAGGGAAAGCGAAATGGTTGAGCCACTTTGGAAAACAGTCTGGCTGTTCTTCATATGGTTAAGCATCCAGTTACTGTATGACCCAGCAACTGAACTGCTACGTATACACCCAGAAGAAACAAAAACACACACTCACAGAAAAATGTGTACACGAATGTTCACAGCAACATTATTTATTTTAGTCCCGAAAGTGGAAACAACCCAAATATGCATCAACAGACAAGTGGGGAAATACAATGTGACCTGTGCCCTGCTGTGGGCTGTCCCTTAGCCATGGAAAGGAATGAAGGTCACCCTTTAAAAGTGTACAGTTCAGGCCGGGCACAGCTGCTCACACCTGTAATCCCAGCACTTTGGGAGGCCGAGGCAGGCGGATCACCTGAGGATAGGAATTTGAGATCAGCCTGGCCAACATGGTGAAACCCCGGCTCTGCTAAAAATACAAAAATTAGCTGGGTGTAGTGGTGGGTGCCTGTAATCCCAGCTACTTGGGAGGTTGAGGCACGAGAATAGCTTGAACCCGGGAGGCGGACGTTACACTGAGCTGAGATCACACCACTGCACTCCAGTCTGGGTGACACAAGCAAAACTCCATCTCAAAAGAAAAAAAGTGTACAGTTCAAGGCTGGGCCTCTCGCCTGTATTCCCAGCACTTTGGGAGGCTGAGGCGGGTGGATCACTTGTGGCCAAGGGTTCAAGACCAGCCTGGCCAAAACGGTGAAACTTTGTCTATACTACAAATACAAAATTAGTCAGGTGCGGTGGCACTCCCCTGTAATCCCAGCTATTGAGGAGGCTGGCAAGGGAGTGAGACTCCGTCTCAAAAAAAAAGAAATGAAGCCCTGTCACCTACCTGCTGTAGCATGGAGGAATTTTGTAAACATGTTTCTCAGACAAAAAGAATTCAGACAAGCCGGTTGCAGTGGCTCACGCCTGTAATCCTAGCACTTTGGGAGGCCGAGGTTGGTGGATCACCTGAGGTCAGGAGGTCAAGACTAGCCTGGCCATCATGGTGAAACCCTATCTTTAAAAAAAGAAAAAAAAAATTATTAAAAAAAAAAATTCAGGGCCGGGCGTGGTGGCTCAAGCCTGTAATCCCAGCACTTTGGGAGGCCGAGGTGGGTGGATCACGAGGTCAAGAGATCGAGACCATCCTGGTCAACATGGTGAAACCCCGTCTCTACTAAAAATACAAAAAAAATTAGCTGGGCATGGTGGCACGTGCCTGTAATCCCAGCTACTCAGGAGGCTGAGGCAGGAGAATTGCCTGAACCCAGGGGGCGGAGGTTGCGGTGAGCCGAGATCGCGCCATTGCACTCCAGCCTGGGTAACAAGATTGAAACTCCGTCTCAAAACAAACAAACAAACAAACAAAAAATTCAGGCCGGGCACAGTGGCTCACACCTGTAATCCCAGCACTTTGGGAGGCCGAGGTGTGTGGATCACGAAGTCAAGAGATCGAGACCATTCTGGTCAACATGGTGAAACCCTGTCTCTACTAAAAATACAAAAATTAGCTGGGCATGGTGGCGCGTGCCTGTAGTCCCAGCTACTCAGGAGGCTGAGGCAGGAGAATTGCCTGAACCCAGGAGGCGGAGGTTGTGGTGAGCCGAGATCGTGCCATTGCACTCCAGCCTGGGTAACAAGAGCGAAACTCCGTCTCAAAAAAAAAAAAAAAAAAAAAAAAAAAAAATCAGACACAAAAGGTCACATGTTATAGGATTCCATTTATATTATTTATATGAAATGTCCGAAATAGGCATAGGCAAATCTATAGAGATAGAAAGTAGACTAGTGGTAGCTGGGAGTTGTGGGGAAGGGAGAAATGGGGAGGGATTGCTAAAAGGTATGGGTTTTATGGGGGGTGAGGTATGATGAAAACGTTGTGAAATTAGATTGTGATGATGATTGCATAACACTGGGCAAACACTAAAAACCACTGTGCTGCACAATTTTTTTTTTTAGACAGGGTCTTGTTGTATGGCCCAGGCTGGAGTATAGTGGCACCATCTCTGTTCACAGCAATTTCCACCTCCTGGGTTCAAGTGATTCTCCCACCTCTGCCTCCTGAGTGGCTGGGACTACAGGCGCATGCCACCACACCCGGCTAATTTTAGTAATTTTAGTAGAGACGGGGTTTCACCATGTTGACCATGCTGGTCTTGAACTCCTGACCTCAGGTGATCCGCCTGTCTCGGCCTCCCAAAGTGCTGGGATTACAGGTGTGAGCCACTGCGCCCAATGTTATTAACATCAACGTTATTTCCCATCACAGATGAATTCAGAAATAACAAACCTATATGTGTCACAAGTTTGAATTTCTGCTTCTGGCCATGAGCAAGTATACAACTGAAGTTTACAATAGGGTTCAACAACCTTTTCTGCAAAGGGCCAGGTAGTAAATGTTTTGGACTTTGTGAATCATAGTCTCTCTGTTGCGATGACTCAACTCTGCTGTCATGGTTCAAAAGCAGCCATAGACAAGAGTGACTATCAAAAAAAAAAAAAAAAGAAAAAAAAGAAAAAAAGCCGGGCGCGGTGGCTCAAGCCTGTAATCCCAGAACTTTGGGAGGCTGAGGCGGGCGGATCACGAGGTCAAGAGATCGAGACCATCCTGGTCAACATGGTGATAACCCTGTCTCTACTAAAAATACAAAAAATTAGCTGGGCATGGTGGTGCGTGCCTGTAATCCCAGCTACTCAGGAGGCTGAGGCAGGAGAATTGCCTGAACCCAGGAGGCGGAGGTTGCGGTGAGCCGAGATCGCGTCATTGCACTCCAGCCTGGGTAACAAGAGCGAAACTCCGTCTCAAAAAAAAAAAAAAAAAAGAGTGACTAATGGGCCTGACTGTGTGCCCACAAAACTACATACAGGACCAGATGAGGTGGCTCACACCTGTAATCCCAGCACTTTTGAAGTCCAAGGCTGGCAGACCACCTGAGGTCGGGTGTTCAAGACCAGCCTGACCAACGTGGAGAAACCCAATCTCTACTAAAAATACAAAATTAGGCTGGGCGCGGTGGCTCACGCCTGTAATCCCAGCACTTTGGGAGGCCGAGGCGGGTGGATCACGAGGTCAAGAGATCAAGACCATCCTGGTCAACATGGTGAAACCCCGTCTCTACTAAAAATACAAAAATTAGCTGGGCATGGTGGCCCGTGCCTGTAATCCCAGCTGCTCAGGAGGCTGAGGCAGGAGAATTGCCTGAACCCAGGAGGCAGAGGTTGCAGTGAGCCGAGATCGCGCCATTGCACTCCAGCCTGGGTAACAAGAGCGAAACTCTGTCTCAAAAAAAAAAAAAAAATACAAAATTAGCCAGGTGTGGTGGCGCATAACTGTAATCCCAGCTAATGGGGAGGCTGAGGCAGGAGAATCACTTGAACCCAAGAGGTGGAAGTTGTGGTTAGCCAATATCAAACCATTCTGCTCCAGCCTGGGCAACAAAAGCAAAACTCCTTCACAGACACACACACACACACACACGGGAAAGAGGAAGGTGGAGGAAGAGGAGGAAGGAGGAGGAAAAGGAGAAAAGGAAGAGGAGAAGGGAAGGGGAGGAGGAGGGGGAGGAGGGAGAGGAGGGGGGGAGGGGGGAGGGGGGAGGGAGAGGAAGGGGAGGAGGGGAGGGGGAGGAGGAGGAGGGGGAGGGAGAGGAGGAGGGAGATGGGGAGGAGGGGGAGGCAGAGAAGATGATGATGATTCAGGCTGTGCATAGTAGCTCACTCCTGTTATCCCAGCACTTTGGAAGGCAGAGGCAGGAAGATTACTTGAGCCCAGGAGTTAGACACCAGCCTGGGCAACAAAGAGAGAACTCATCTCTACGAAAAATTTAAAAACAGTAGCCAGAAAAAAAAAACATACACACACAAAACAGTAGCCAGGCATGGTGGTGTACACCTGTGGTCCACAGTCCTCAGGGGACTGAGGCGGGGGTTATCACTTGAGCCCAAGAGTTCAAGGCTGCAGTCAGCTATGATTACGCCTGTCTAAATTTTTACTTTTTGCAGAGATGGGGTCTTACCATGTTCCATAGGCTGGTCTCATACTCCTGGGGCTCAAGTGATTCTCCCACCTTGGCCTCCTAAAGTGCTGGGATTACAGGCATGAGCTACCTCACCCAGCCAGAGGCACCAATTAGACTTGATGTCTTTTTTTTTTTTTTTTTTTTTTTGAGATGGAGTTTCACTCTTCTTTCCCAGGCTGGAGTGCAATGGCACAATCTCCGCTCACCGCAACCTCAGCCTCCCAGGTTAAAGCAATTCTCCTGCCTCTGCCTCCTGGCTAGCTGCGATTACAGGCGTGCGCCACCAGGCCCAGCTAATTTTGTATTTTTAGTAAAAACAAGATTTCTCCTTGTTGGTCAGGCACGTCTCGAACTCCTGACCTCAGGTGATCCGGCCACCTTGGCCTTCCAAAGTGCTGGGATTACAAGCGTGAACCACCGCGCCCCACCCTCTGACTTTATGTCTTTGAACTTGGAAATTCTATGCACGTTCTACCATGTTCCCTCCCCGAAAAAGACAGGGCTCTCCTCTCCTGCCTGGGTGCCCTGATTTTTCTTCTCATCTCCCCAGCAAAGTCAATATCCTCCTGTCTCCGTCTCCTCTCCTCTCCCAGGACCGAATCCCCTTTGCTGTGGTAGGAGCTGATCGAGAGCACCTGGTGAATGGGAGGTGTGTCCTGGGCCGGAAGACCAAGTGGGGCATCATCGAAGGTCAGTGCGGGGCCCCTGGGTAGGATTCGGGTGAGGACAAGTTGGACGCCAGAGTAGCGCTGTGCCTCTGGCACCCTTAGCCCCCATCACAGGCCCCTGAAATGTTAAGCCCATGGGACAAACAGGCCTGGGGAATGGTCCTTCTTTCCAGTGGGGGGGACATGGGCAAGTTTCTGGACTCTCCGGGCCTCAGTTTCCTCCCAGTAGAATGGGCATCACAGTGGCATCAACTTTCTAGGGTGCTAGCGTGGAGACTGGCACCATTTGGCACAACGCCCGGTACCCAAAGGTGCCCTAGAGGCTGGCCAGAACTTACAATGGGCCTACTGTGTATCGGGCACCGCTATGTGCAGTTCCTGCGGTCCACGGTAAAGGCAGGACTGACAAGGTCCCTGTCCCCATAGAGCTGGCGAGACAAGGACAGGTCGGGGAAGCACAGTGAAGGGGATTGTGGAGGGAGGGAGAGGAGACCGCCTCAGGGAGCTGGAGAAAGTGAGACAGGAGAGGCAGCCAGGACATAACCCCTGATGCATTATTATAATTATTAGAAGTATACTATACTTTTTTTTTTTTTTTTGAGACAGAGTCTTTCTCTGTTGTCCAGGCTAGAGTGCAGTGGCGTGATCTTGGCTCACTGCAACCTCTGTCTCTAGGTTTAAGCGATTCTCCTGTCTCAGCCTCCCAAGTACCTGGGACTACAGATGTGCACCACCACACCCGGCTAATTTTTGTATTTTTAGTAGAGACGGGGTTTCATCATGTTGGCCAGGCTGGTCTCAAACTCCTGACATCAGGTGATTCACCCACCTTGGCCTCCCAAAGTGCTGGAATTACAGGCATGAACCACTGCACCCGGCCAGAAATATACTATACTATTATTCATAATATAGCACATAGTCATTCCACTCTATTTGCAGGGGGTGGTTCCAGGACCCCCAGGGATACCAAAATCTGCAGATGCTCAAGTCCCACAGTGGGCACCCATGGATACAGAGGCCGACTGTATATATAATACAATAATGATTTGTGGATTCATTCATTCAACGAATACTTGCAGGAGCCCCCTGTACCAGGCTCTGGGGACATAACAGTGAATGAATGAATGAACCAACAAAGAGAAGGTGGGATAGGATAAAGAGAAATGTGGGGAAAGGGCTAAGGGAAATGGTGTCAGGTCATGCATACAGTAGATGCTTACTCGGTGCACAGTAAGCAGAGCCCATACTGAGTCCTGTGTCTTGCAGTGGAGAACATGGCGCACTGTGAGTTTCCTCTCCTGAGAGACCTGCTCATCCGGTGAGGGTGTGGGGAGCCCGGGGCTGGAGGGCTGGTGAGGGGCCCTGGGGACACCATGGTTGAGGCTGACTGCCTCCGGTCTCCCAGCTCCCACCTCCAAGATCTGAAGGACATAACCCACAACGTGCACTACGAGAATTACCGTGTCATCAGACTCAATGAAAGCCACCTGCTGCCCCGAGGGCCAGGCTGGGTGAACCTGGCTCCGGCCTCCCCAGGACAGCTGACCTCCCCCCGGCCCTTGAAGGTCTGCAGGGGGGCCCACGATGATTCTGAGGATGAGTTCTGAGCACCAGCTGATCCTGGGCCCGCAGGGCTTCCTGAGTCCCCAGCGGCCCTCAACACACATCCGTGTATCCGAGCATCTATTAAATGTGGACCTTGCTTTTTATGAAAAGCTGGGCTTTGAAAACAAAAGGCATTTTGTAAATGACTTATTTGAGCTATCCACAAATAAAAGGCCGGGTCTCGCCGAGCACGGTGGCTCAAGCCTGTAATCCCAGCACTTTGGGAGGCCGAGGCGGGTGGATCACGAGGTCAAGAGATCGAGACCATCCTGGTCAACATAGTGAAACCCCATCTCTACTAAAAATACAAAAAATTAGCTGGGCATGGTGGTGCGTGACTGTAATCCCAGCTACTCAGGAGGCTGAGGCAGGAGAATTGCCTTAACCCAGGAGGCGGAGGTTGTGGTGAGCTGAGATCGCGCCATTGCACTCCAGCCTGGGTAACAAGAGGGAAACTCTGTCTCAAAAAAAAAAAAAAAAAAAAAAAAAAGGCCGGGTCTCACTCTGTTACCCAGGCTGGAGTGGACTGCCGCGATCATAACTCATTGCAGCCTCGAATTCCTGGACTCAAGCAATCCTTCTCCCTTAGCCTCTGGAGTAGCCAAGACTACAGGCATGACACCATCTTGATTGGCTGATTTTTAAAATTTTTTGTAGCAAGCCGGGCACGGTGGCTCACGCCTGTAATCCCAGCACTTTGGGAGGCCAAGGCGGGTGGATCACAAGGTCAAGAGATCAAGACCATCCTGGTCAACATGTTGAAACCCCGTCTCTACTAAAAATACAAAAAATTAGCTGGGCATGGTGGTGCATGCCTGTAATCCCAGCTACTCAGGAGGCTGAGGCAGGAGAATTCCCTGAACCCAGGAAGCGGAGGTTGCAGTGAGCCGAGATCTCACCATTGCACTCCAGCCTGGGTAACGAGAGTGAAACTCCGTCTCAAAAAAAAAAAACAACTTTTTTTCACGAGGTCGAGAGATCGAGACCATCCTGGTCAACATGGTGAAACCCCGTCTCTACTAAAAGTGCAAAAAATTAGCTGGGCCTGGTGGCACGTGCCTGTAATCCCAGCAACTCAGGAGGCTGAGGCAGGAGAATTGCCTGAGCCCAGGAGGCGGAGGTTGCCGTGAGCCGAGATCGCCCATTGCACTCCAGCCTGGGTAACAAGGGCGAAACTCCGTCTCAAAAAAACAAAAAAAACAAAAAAAAACTTTTTTTTTGTAGCAATAAATCCTTGCTAGGTTGCCCAGGCTGATCGTTAACCAACCTCAAGCGATCCTTCCACCTGAGCCTCCCAAAAAACTGGGATTACCACTGCTCCCAACCAAGTATGTTTTTGTTGTTATTTTCGTTGTTGTTTCTGAGATGGAGTCTTTTTTTTTTTTAGATGCAGTCTCACTGTGTTGCCGGGCTGGAGTGCAATGGCGCAATCTCGGCTCAAGGCAGCCTCCACCTTCCAGGTTCAAGCAATTCTCCTGCCTCAGCCTCCAGAGTAGCTGGGACTACAGGCATGGGCCACCATGCCCAGCTAATTTTTGTATTTTTAGTAGAGATGGGGTTTTACCATGCTGGCCAGCATGGGCTCGATCTCTTGACCTCATGATCCATCCACCTCAGCCTCCAAAGTGCTGGGATTACAGACGTGAGTCACCACACCCAACCTCTGAGACAGATTTTCATTCTGTCACATCAGCTGTAGTGCAAGGATGCGATCTGGGCTCACTGCAACCTCTCTCTCTCAGGTTTAAGCAAATCTCCTGCCTCAGCCTCCCTATAGCTGGGATTATAGGTGCCTGCCACCAGGCCCAGCTAATATGTGTTTTTAGTGAAGACAGGGTTTGACCATGCTGGCCAGGCTAGTCTTGAACTCCTGACCTCAAGTGATCTATCTGCCTCAGCCTCCCGAAGTGCTGGGATTACAGGTGTGAGCCACAGCACTCAGCCTTCTTTTTCAAGTAATAATGTGAGACTCGTGGGGCATGGTGGTTCAGCCCTGTAATCCCAGTATTTTGGGAGGCCAAGGTGAGGTCAGGAGTTCAAGACCAGCCTGACCAACATGGTGAAACCCTGTCTGTACTAAAAATGCCAAAAAAAAAAAAAAATTAGAAGGGCATGGTGGTGTGTAATCCCAGCTACTCGGGAGGCTGAGGCAGGAGAATCACTTGAACCTGGGAGGTGGAGGTTGCAGTGAGCCGAGATGGTGCCACTGCACTCCAGCCTGGGCAACAGAGCAAGCCTCCATCTCTAAATAAATAAATAACTAATAATAATGTGAGACCCAAGGCCCTAGGAGTCTTGAAGGCCTGAGAAGGCATGCCTTGGACAACCAGCCTCCTGTGCCTGAGAGCCAGACCCAAGTTACAAATCCAGCTCTCTCGTCTGTCCCAGCCCCTTACTCCTGGCCCAGCGCTAGGCCCACAGGCCACCAAGAACACTTTCAAAATCCCCAGCTTTGTGGCCTGATCGCTGGCTGTCTTACCTGATCTCCGTGTTCCACCGTCCCCCACCTTCCTTATTTCCCTGCCCCAAGGACCAGCATGGCCGGATGACAGCTCCCACTGTGGAGCCTGGCAACGCCGATGTGAAAATCCCAGCAGGCAAGTCAGTTACTTATGCTTCCCTTGCTTCACTTTTCTCATCTGTAAAATGGGGATCATGGTACCAACCACATGGCACAGTTGTTCAGACAAAATGAAGTACTCCCTAGGATGTGCCGACCTCAACCTGGAGAAATGGCATGAAGACAGAAGCAGCCTGAACAAGACGGAGGAGCAGTCCAGGGCAGAGGACCTGCTGCAGAATGGGTGAGCTCCATGGCCCAGGAACTCTCCAGAAAGCTTGAAAAAACACTGGGAGCGGTGCTCATGCTTGAAATCGCAGCACTCTGGGAGGCTAAAGCAGGCGAATCACTTGAAGTCAGGAGTTTGAGACCACCCTGGCCAACATGGAGAAACTCTACTAAAAATACACAAATTAGCCGGGTGTGGTGGCAGGCCCCTATAATCCCAGCTACTTGGGAGGCCTAGGTAGGAGAATCCCTTGAACGTGGGAGGCTTGAATGCAAGAAGTTACAGTGAGCTGAGATCACACCATTGCACTCCAGCCTGGGCGACAAAGTGAGGCTCCATCTAAAAAAAAAAAAAGAAAAAAAAGAAAAAAAAAAGCTAGAAAATAAATGGACTTCACAGAATCCCACACTGTGGGGGCCAAAGCTATGTTAGTTTGGTAACAAAACAAAGGGTGGCACCTATAATCTAGGAAGCTGGGTACAAGGTGAGCCTTCAACAAATGACAACAGTAACAATTTGGTCCCAACTAAAAGTCACCTACTCCATGAAGCCCTCCTTGACTTCCCCAGGCAACCCACTCCCTGCCTTCTCTGGGTGTGTGTCACCTGGTTTGTTTTCTGGTCAGTTACCCCCATTACACTGGAAATTTAGGGAAGGACACAACTGCTGACTGAACAGACCCTGCATTATCTGCTCCATAGCAATCCGCTGGTCGAATTCACAAACCTACTTTTCCATCCACACCCCAGGCTGACTTCAGGACTGGGAAGGTTCCAGAGCCTGTGGGCATGCAAACCACCCGAGACCAACATCTCAGTTGGCTGAGATACTGGCCCAGGTCACAGCACATTCCCAGGTTTAAGATTAGCCCTGGGCAATATGGCAACATCTACGCATTTCAAAAGGACACACCCAGACCCACAGGGTGGCTCACGCCTGTAATCCCAGCACCTTGGGAAGCCAAGGTGGACGTATCGAAAGGTCAGGAGTTCAAGACCAGCCTGGCCAATGGTGAAACCCTGTCTCTGCTAAAGAAATACAAAAATTAGGCCGGATGTGGTGGCTCACACCTGTAATCCCAGCACTTTAGGAGGCCAAGGTGGGTGGATCACAAAGTTAGGAGTTCGAGACCAGCCTGGCCAATATGGTGAAACCCATCTCTACTAAAGATACAAAAATTAGCTGGGCATGGTGGTGCACACCTGTAATCCCAGCTAGTGGGGAGGCTGAGGCAGGAGAATCTCTTGAACTAGGGGAGCAGAGGTTGAAGTGAGCCGAGATCACGCCATTGCACTCCAGCCTGGGTAACAGAGCTAGACTTTGTCTCAAACACACACACACACCCCACAAACTCTAGCTTGGGCAACAGAGCTAGACTGTGTCTCAAATACACACACACACACACTCACACCCCGAACTCTAGCCTGGGCAACAGAGCTAGGCTGTGTCATGCACACACACACACACACACCCCCCAAACTCTAGCCTAGGCAACAGAGCTAGACTCTGCCTCAAACACACACACACACACCCGAAACTCTACTGACTCCTAGGATAAAATCCTTAATCTTCACCAGAGTCTCCAAGTATGATCGGGTCCTGCCCATCCCTCCAGCCACATCTCCCAATTTCTGGTTTCGGAGAATCTCAAAGGAGATTCTTTCTGTCTCTCAAACGCAGCATGTTCTCTCTGGCCCCAGGACCTTTGCACCTGCCACTCCATCAGTCTGGAATCCTCTCCCTCAATCCCCCAGGTTAACCCAACGCTGCTCAACCGTCATTTCCACCCTGAAGGTATCAGGTCCCCTCTTTTACATCCCTTGGTAACATTTGCCTAAGATGTGATTAAACAATTCTTCGTGCAATTATTTTGTCAACTGTATGCCTCTCTTAGTAGAATGCAAGCTTCGTGAAAGCAGCACCTGCCAGCACTCGGTCACCAGAGCGCCTAGTAATGAAGGCAGATGAGAGGACTCAACAAGCATTTAATATGCCTGGATGAATGGTTTTAAATGAGTTACAACCTTGAGAGTTAACCTTCTGCATTAACAGATGTGGAAACTGAGGCTCAAAGCGCGCAAGGGAGTGGCCCGCCATCTCGACAAGGACGGTGCCGCGGGGAGACTGCAGCCGCTTCCTCCAAGCCCCTGGCATTGCGGCAGCTGGGGAGAACCTCCAGGCCGCCAATGCACTGCAATGGGGCTCGCAGGAAACGGCCTCCGGGGAGGGCGCGGGGCGCTCTGGGAAATGTAGTCCCACCAGCTCCCCGAATCCAGCGTCCCCAACTTTCGCTTCCGGAGGACTCAGTTCTCGCGCGATGCTTTGGGAAAGACGCGCGGAATTCCAGGAGGTCTCTATGTCTCCCCACAGTTCGGGAGGCCAAGGCAGGCGGATTGCTTGAGCTCAGGAGTTCAAGACCAGCATGACCAAAACCCCTTCTCTACGAAAAGTGCAAAAATTAGCCAGGTGGGCCAGGCGCAGGGGCTCACACCTGTAATCCCAGTACTTTGGGAGGCCGAGGCAGGCGGATCACGAGGTCAGGAGTTTGAGACCAGCCTGGCCAACATGGTGAAACCCAATACAAAAAATAGCCGGGCGTGGTGGTGCGTGCCAGTTTTCCCAGCTACTTGGGAGGCTGAGGCAGGAGAATAACTTGAACCTGGGAGATGGAGGTTTGCAATGAGCCAAGATCTCATCATTGCACTCCAGTCTGGGCAATAGAGTGAGACTCTGTCTCAAAAAAAAAAAAAAAAAAAAAAAAATTAGCCGGGTGTGGTGGTGTAGGCCTGTAGTTCCAGCTACTCAGGAAGCTGAGGTGGGAGGATCGATTGAGCCCAGCAGGTGGAGGCTACAGTGAACTGTGACTGTACCGCTGCCCTCCAGCCTAGGCAACAGAGCAAAACACTGTCTCAGAAGAAAATAAATTTAAAAAGCCACTTCATTCCAACAGTGATATTCACGCAGGATCGTCTGTGTGGCGTCTGTTAATTTAATCCAGTGTTGCTCATGCTGTGCAGTGCTCGAGGCCATCCCTTTCTGTTTTTTTTTTTTGTTTTTTTTTTTTTTTTTTGTGACAGGGTCTTGCTCTGTTGCCCAGGTTGGAGTGCAGTGGCGTGATCTCGGCTCACTGCAACCTTTGCCTCCTGGGTTCAAGCGATTCTCTTGCCTCAGTCTCCCAAGTAGCTGGGATTACAAGGTGCATGCCGCCACACCAGGCTATTTTTTATATTTTTAGTAGAGACGGGGGTTTCAGCATCTTGGCTAGGCTGGCCTTGAACTCCTGACCTCCTGATCCACCTCTCTCAGCTTTCCAAAGTGTTGGGATTACAGAACCACCGTGCCTGGCCGGCCCTCTTTTCGATCTTAAGAAAAATTGCAGCCGGGCGCGGTGGCTCAAGCCTGTAATCCCAGCACTTTGGGAGGCCGAGGCGGGTGGATCACGAGGTCAAGAGATCGAGACCATCCAGGTCAACATAGTAAAACGCCATCTCTACTAAAATACAAAAAATTAGCTGGGCATGGTGGCGCGTGCCTGTAATCCCAGCTACTCAGGAGGCTGAGGCAGGAGAATTGCCTGAACCCAGGAGGCGGAGGTTGCGGTGAGCCGAGATTGCGCCATTGCACTCCAGCCTGGGTAACAAGAGCGAAACTCCGTCTCAAAAAAAAAAAAGAAAAAGAAAAATTGCTTCTCCTGAATTTGAGCCTTAGTGGTTAGCAGCCTGGACTGAGACACGGACTCAAGTTTTGTTACGATGCGGATCCTCGCCTCAAGCTATCCTCCCCGCCTTGGCCTGCCAAAGTGCTGGGATTACAGGCATGAGCCACCGTGCCCGACCGAGTTTGCTGGCTTTGAACAGGGAAGAGGCGGACTTTATCTGTGAACTTTTTCACAACAGAGGAGGGCAGGTGTGGAATAGTAACTGGAAGAGTAGCCCAGAGACTCCGAGGGCTGCACGCTCGCGCATGTTTACTGAGATGCTGGACTACGTTACCCACAATGCATCCCTTTGAGGACCACATTAACCACAATGCGCATCGCGGACCCGCCCACGCGGGCTTGTTGCCACGCCCAAACAGCCGGCTCAGCCAATGATTCGAAGGCTGTGTTACCCACAATGCCGCCCGCTGGCCTGGCCACACGGCCTGGTTCCCATGCCTCGTTTGGGGGTCTTCGGCCTGGCTCTGGCGTCCGGGGCTGCGAAACTTGCGGTCCGCGGTCTCACTCCGGCTCATATCCGCCGCTCCGACTCTGGCCCGAACTTTCCACGGCCCGCAGCGCTGCCAGTGAGTGCGGGGGGCGCAGGGACGCGGGTCCCGGCCGCGGGTCCCGGCGAAGCTTCGATGCCGGGGTCTGTGCTGCGGCCTCGGGCAGCGCTCAACCTCCACCTGAGGGGTGAGACGGGAAAGCAGCCCGGCCTGGGGGTCGCAGCCCTCCCAGGACCCTGGAATTGGGGGGCCGTTGTGACCACCCACTTGGGGGTGTCTGACGGGGTCTCGTTGGACTTCACGGTTTGCCAGACCCGGATACCGAGGGTCAAGTTGAGGCAGAGTCTGTACCTTGCTTGGCAGAAGGGCTCCAGTTTTCATCAGATTTCCAAAGGAACCCTTTCCATATAGGACCCTCTGTAGTCATGGAAAATGACGATTCTCGAGCTCTGACAGCAAACATCCGTTTTAGGTTGTTTTTGTTTTTGTTTTGGGACGGAGTTTATCGCCCAGGCTGGAGTGCGGTGGCGTGGTCTCAGCTCGCTGCAACTTTCGCTTCCCGGGTTCAAGCGATTCTTCTGTCTCAGCTTCCCGAGTTGCTGGGATTACAGATGTGCTACCACCATGTCGGGCTAATTTTTGAATTTTTAGTAGAGACGGGGTCTCACCACGTTGACCAGGCTGGTCTCAAACTCCTGACCTCACGCGATCTACCCGCCTCAGCCTCCCAAAATGCTGAGATTACAGGCGTGAGCCACTGCACCTGGCCCATCCCTTTTCTTTCTGTCAGCAACCTATGTGTGTAGGCCCTGTTATCTCTGTTTGCCCATTGAGGAAGCAAAGCCCTTCAGTAAATGACGTCAGAATTAGCAGGGGTTTAGTAGCAAAGATGGCATTGATCTACTTCATCCTTTTCCTTTTTTCAGGGCGAGTGAGCTGGTCTTGGAACCAGGGCAAGGGCTTCCTAGTACAGAGGGCTTATCCAGCCCCAACGCTGCCCTTCAAATGGTTTTATTGTCTCTCCACAGGGCCCTGAAAAAAACTCTTCCTGTGTCTGTCCAGAGGTATACAGAGAGAGACAGGTTCAATTCTAAGGCCTAAAAAGGAACAAGTCCCACTGGGAACAATGGCCACCATCCCTGGCCTCCAGCCCCTGACATCCTTGGAGCAGGATCTGGAACAGGATGAGATCCTGATTGTGAAGGTGGAGGAGGACTTCGGCTGGGAAGAGGAGCCCTCCGTGGAGACGGAGGACCCCAGCCCCGAGACTTTCCGCCAGCTCTTCCGGCTCTTCTGCTACCAGGAGGTGGCTGGGCCCCGGGAGGCCCTGAGCCGCCTATGGGAGCTGTGCTGCCGCTGGCTGCGGCCAGAGCTGCGCACTAAGGAGCAGATCCTGGAGCTGCTGGTGCTCGAGCAGTTCCTGACGGTGCTGCCGGGGGAGATCCAGGCTCGAGTGCGCGAGCAGCAGCCGGAGAGCGGTGAGGAGGCCGTGGTCCTCGTGGAAGGGCTGCAGCGGGAGCCCAGGAAACACAGGCAGCGGGTGAGGTGGGGGGCATTTTGACCCTCAGGTGAGAAAACGGGGCCCTGCTGCTGGGGTTTGCAGCTGGAGATTCCTTGGTCATTGGGTGACCAAGGGTGGCTTCCTGGACACTGTGAATTGAAGAAGGCACCTGCAAAAGGTTTCTCAGCCGTGGCCAATGGGTGTCCACCCTTTGATTAACCACATCCTACCCTGATAGCCCTTTATTAGCTGCAGCAGATGGTTTGTGAACACTGTCCTAGGATAGGCCGAACAGGTTTTTGGGTTGTTTTTTTTTTTTTTGAGACGGAGTTTCGCTCTTGTTAAGCAGGCTGGAGTGCAATGGCGCGATCTCGGCTCACCGCAACCTCCGCCTCCTGGTCTCAGGCAATTCTCCTGCCTCAGCCTCCTGAGTAGCTGGGATTACAGGCACGTGCCACCATGCCCAGCTAATTTTTTGTATTTTTAGTAGAGACGGGGTTTCACCATGTTGACCAGGATGGTCTCGATCTCTCGACCTTGTGATCCACCCGCCTCGGCCTCCCAAAGTGCTGGGATTACAGGCTTGAGCCACCGCGCCCGGCTGGGTTGTTTTTTTTTAAGACATGGTCTCGCTCTGTTGCCCAGGCTGTAGTACAGGGGTATGATCACGGCTCATTGCAGCCTCAACCTCCTGGCTTCAAGTGATTCTCCCACCTCAACCTACTAAGTAGCTGAGACTACGCATGCACCACCACACCTGTCTAATTTTGTGTTTTTTTTGTAGAGACAAGGTTTCGCCATGTTCCCCAGACTAGCCTCAAACTCCTGGCCTCAAGTGATTCTCCCACCTTGACCTCCCAAAGTGCTGGGATTACAGGCATGAACCACTGCGCCTGGCCCAAACACAGGTTTTGGTGGGAGAGATGTCCGGCATACCTTCGAAGACAAAGAGTTGAAACTACCCCCAAAGTGGGAGAACACTGGGAGGAAAGACCAGGGGCATGGGGGGCACTTGGGTTAGAGTCCCCAGAGGTTCTAGAGTTGTGCCATGCAAAACAGTAGCTGCTAGCTACATGTACCTCTTTTTTTTTTTTTTTTTGAGACGGAGTTTCGCTCTTGTTACCCAGGCTGGAGTGCAATGGCGCGATCTCGGCTCACCGCAACCTCCGCCTCCTGGGTTCAGGCAATTCTCCTGCCTCAGCCTCCTGAGTAGCTGGGATTACAGGCACATGCCACCATGCCCAGTTAATTTTTTTGTATTTTTTTAGTAGAGACGGGGTTTCACCATGTTGACCAGGATGGTCTCGATCTCTTGACCTCGTGATCCACCCACCTCAGCCTCCCAAAGTGCTGGGATTACAGGCTTGAGCCACCGAGCCCGGCCACATGTAGCTTTTAAAATTATAGTTATATACTTTTGTGTGTGTGCGTGTGAGACAGAGTCTGTTTCTCTCTCACCCTGACAGGAGTGCAGTGGTGCGATCTCAGCTCACTGCAACCTCCACTTCCCAGGTTCAAGTGATTTTCATGCCTCGGCCTCCCAAGTAGCTGGCATTACAGGCATGTGCCATCATGCCAGGCTGATTTTTGTATTTTTGGTAGAGAAAGGGTTTTTGCTGTGTTGGCTAGGCTGGTCTCAAACTCCTGGCCTCAAGTGAACTGCCTGCCTTGGCCTCCCAAAGTGCTGGAGTTACAGGTGTGAGCCACCACACCTGGCCACTATGTGGAATGTTAAATTAATTCCTCAGTCATACTGGTCACCTCTCAAGGGCTTAGTCCTCGCACATGACCAGTGGCTCCTGTACTGGATGGCACCGACAGGACCCTTCTGATGGCCTGAAATCTCTAAAGACTGTCCCTCTCCACCTCTTAGCCACATTTGGAGGAGCAGGGGAAGCCTCTTACTCATTCCTCCTGCTTCAGTTTCAGTCACTGAACTTCTTGAGATTAAAATAGAAAAGTCCTGCCACCTGCTGTTTCAGTGCTTTTTTCAGGGCCTTTCATGGATGGGGCACATGGACGGTGCTTACCAGCTGCCTTTCTCCCTATGGCAGTGCCACTGGCTGCACACTGCTGGTCTTTTACAGCCAACAGAGGAGACATATCCCCTAACGCTTGACCAGATGGTGAGCTGACTGCAGTCAGAAAATCCTCCCATAGGCCAACGTGGTGGCTCACGGCTATAATCCCAGCACTTTGAGAGGCTAAGGGGGGAGGATCATGAGGTCAGGAGATCAGGACCATCCTGGGTAACACGGTGAAACTCTGTCTCTACTAAAATACAAATTAGCCGGGAATGGTGGTGGGCACCTGCAGTCCCAGCTACTCCGGAGGCTAAGGCAGGAGAATCGTTTGAACCTGGGAGGCGGACGTTGCAGTGAGCCGAGATTATGCCACTGCACTCCAGCCTGGTAACAAGAGAGTCTGTCTCAGAAAAAAAAAAAAAAAAAAAAAAAAAAAGCCAGGCGTAGTTGCTCGTGCCTGTAATCCCAGCACTTTGGGAGTCTGAGGCAGGTGGATTACCTGAGGTCAGGAGTTTGAGACCAGCCTGGCCAACTACTGAGAATACAAACATTAGCCGGACGTCATGGTAAGTGCCTGTAATCTCAGCTACTCGGAAGGCTGAGGCAGGAGAATCGCTTGAACTCGGGAGGCGGAGGTTGCAGTGAGCCAAGACTGCGCCATCGCACTCCAGCTTGGGCAACAGAGCGAGACTTTGTTTCAAAAGAAAAAAAAAGAAAAAATTGGGCCGGGCGCGGTGGCTCAAGCCTGTAATCCCAGCACTTTGGGAGGCCGAGGCGGGTGGATCACGAGGTCAAGAGATCGAGACCATCCTGGTCAACATGGTGAAACCCCGTCTCTACTAAAAATACTAAAAATTAGCTGGGCATGGTGGTGTGTGCCTGTAATCCCAGCTACTCAGGAGGCTGAGGCAGGAGAATTGCCTGAACCCAGGCGGCGGAGGTTGCGGTGAGCCGAGATTGCGCCATTGCACTCCAGCCTGGGCAACAAGAGCGAAACTCCGTCTCAAAAAAAAAAAAAAAAAAAAGAAAAGAAAAATTGTGCCGTCGTGGTGGCCAAGAACTCAGGACTTCTTCCTGGCCGGCCAGCCTCTTTCCTGGCCCCTGCAGCTTCAGTGTTTGGGGTTCCTAGCATGGCTTCCGTTACTGCCCCGGCATCTCTGCACACATGCCACAGCGCCATCATTGAGCAGAGAGGGGCAGGCTCTGCTCCCCAAGGGGACTACCCTCCTTAGAGGTGTGGAGTGTTGGACAAGAGGAAGCCCAAGATGGGGTCCCTGACACTGACTTTGCAGTTGTCTGGGGATGTCTCTTGTCCAACTGCTATTGCAGAGCTCAATTCTAAGATCCAATTTCATCCAAGTCACCTTTTCTGGAATTAGGAAATAGAGTATCTGAGAGCACCTGTTGATAATTTCTTCCCCCTCTCACCACCCTGAGACAGAGTCTTGCTCTGTCACCCAGGCTGGAATATAATGGCATGATCTCTGCCCACTGCAACCTGCACCTCCTGGGTTCAAACGATTCTCCTGCCTCAGCCTCCCAAGTACTGGGATTACAGGCATGTGCTACCATGCCCAGCTAACTTTTTTTTTTTTTTTTTTTTTTTGAGATGGAGTTTCGCTCTTGTTACCCAGGCTGGAGTGCAATGGCGCGATCTCGGCTCACCGCAACCTCCGCCTCCTGGGTTCAGGCAATTCTCCTGCCTCAGCCTCCTGAGTAGCTGGGATTACAGGCACGTGCCACCATGCCCAGCTAATTTTTTGTATTTTTAGTAGAGACGAGGTTTCACCATGTTGACCAGGATGGTCTCGATCTCTCGACCTCGTGATCCACCCGCCTCGGCCTCCCAAAGTGCTGGGATTACAGGTGTGAGCCACTGTGCTTGGCCAGGTAATTTCCAAAAAATCCAGCAAATGCAGTAATGTGAAGTTCTGAAATGAGGCCAGGGCTGACTCAGGGCCCTTCTGGCCCAGGGTCTATCAGGAGGACCAAGGAATGGAGGGTAAGCATGTGAAGGGGGTTGGTGTGATGGCTCACGCCTGTAATCCCAGCACTTTGGGAGGATCGGGCAGGCAGATCATGAGATCAAGAGATCGAGACCATCCTGGCCAACATGGTGAAACCCCGTCTCTATTAAAAATACAAAAATTAGGCCAGGTGCAGTAGCTGACACCTGTAATCCCAGCACTTTGGGAGGCCAAGGCGAGTAGATTATGAGGTCAGGAGTTTGAAACTAACCTGACTAAGATGGTGAAACCCCGTCTCTATTAAAAATGCAAAAATTAGCCGGGCGCAGTGGTGGGCGCCTGTAATCACAGGTACTCAGGAGGCTGAGGCAGGAGAATCACTTGAACCCAGGAGTCAGAGGTTTCGGTTAGCCAAGATCGGGCCACTGCACTCCAGCCTGGTGACAGAGCAAGACTCCATCTCAAAAAAAAAAAAAAAAAGAATGTGATGGAACACAATTGCAGTGACAGGAGAGACCCTGAAGTAGAGCAGACTGGGAGTTGGCTGCAGGGAGCCCAAGGGTGGGCAGCAGCTGGGGTGCCTGAGATAAGGGTGTGGGGCCCTGCGGGGATTTTCCTTTTACCCTTCTGGGAGCCGGTGGGCAGATCTCTGTCTGTGTGCAGGGCTCAGAGCTGCTTTCTGATGATGAGATGCCCCTCGGGATAGGGGGACAGTCCTTAAAATGCCAGGCGGAGGCTCAGACGGAGGAGCTGTTTCTGGAGGAAGAGGCTCGATGCTCCAGCCAGCAGCCCCCAGCCCAGCTAAGCCACAGGCCACAGAGGGGTCCGCTGCTGTGGCCAGAGAGGGGTGAGCAGCACCCCTTTGGAGGAATGGGAAGTGGTGCAGGGAAGGAAGGTGAAGGTGAATGGGGCATGGGGTGTGGCCAGAACAGGGCCTGCCTGGCTGTGGGGTGCACAGACTCTCCAGCAAGGAGTGGGTCTTGGGTGGGCAACCACCGGACTGCTGGGGCCTTTGACTGCAGGGGCGGTGGGGTGGTGCTGGATGAGCTGTGTGACTGGTGGTGACTCTGCTCCTTTCCAGGCGCTCCGGCCCCCCAGCAGCAGGAGATGGCGTCAGCCTCACCCCTCCTTTCGGCCTGGTCCCAGGTGAGTAGGGTGCTCCTGGTCTGCAGCGTCCCCGGGTCTGGCCCGACCTCCTGTGTGTTACACTTCCTTGTTGAGGGGAGACTTCTCTTCCGGTGGCCAGGGTTTTGGATGTCAGAGGAGCTCCTTCCTAGAGTATCCTCCCTTCGGTCCAACCCTGGAGTTGCTTCCTCTGGCCTCCCTGAGAGTCTTTTCTTCTCTCCAGGGGCCATTTAAGTACTCGGTGATGCCCAGAAGATTCTGGGGTCCAACAGTGAGACAGAGTGGTGACTCCTGTCCTGCTGGGCACAGGGGCCTTTTGGGACTTGGGAAAATACAGGTTCCTCTTACACCCTTGGTGTGGAATAGGAGTCTCCTTTGTTTGCTCACTTGTTTGTTTGATTTTTTTTTTTTTTTTTTTGAGCCAAAGTCTGGCACTGTGCTCACGCTAGAGTGCAGTAGTGTGGTCACGGCTCACTGCAGTCTTGACCTCCTGGGCTTAAGAGATCCTCCTGCCTCAGCCTCCTCAGTTAGCTGGGACTACAGGTGTGCACCGCCACACCTGACTAGTCGTTCTTTTATTTTTTTATAGAGAGAGAGTCTTCCTGTGCTGCCTACGCTGGTCTTGAACTCCTGGGCTCAAGCGATACTCTTGCCTCAGCCTCCCAAAGCACTGGGATTACAGGCATGAGCCACCATGCCTGGCCTGTTTGATTTTTATTTTCTTTTTTTTTTAATTTTTTAATTTTTTTATTTTTTGAGACGGAGTTTCGCTCTGGTTACCCAGGCTGGAGTGCAATGGCGCGATCTCGGCTCACCGCAACCTCCGCCTCCTGGGTTCAGGCAATTCTCCTGCCTCAGCCTCCTGAGTAGCTGGGATTACAGGCACGCGCCACCATGCCCAGCTAATTTTTTGTATTTTTAGTAGAGACGGGGTTTCACTATGTTGACCAGGATGGTCTTGATCTCTTGACCTCGTGATCCACCCGCCTCAGCCTCCCAAAGTGCTGGGATTACAGGCTTGAGCCACCGCGCCCGGCGTGATTTTTATTTTCATATTTATTTTTGTATTTATTTTGAGATGGAGTCTCGCTCTGTCACCCAGGCTGGAGTACAGTGAAGAGATCTCGGCTCACTGCAACCTCCACCTCCTGGGTTCAAGCAATTCTCTTGCCTCAGCCTCCCGAGTAGCTGGCGTTACAGGAGTCCACCATGACGCCCAATTTAGTTTTGTATTTTTAGTAGAGACATAGTTGTACTGTGTTGGCCAGAATGGTCTAGAACTCCTGACCCCAGGTGATCCACCCATCTTGGCCTCCCAAAGTGTTGGGATTACAGGCATGAGCTACTGTGCCCAGCCCTGATCATTTTTAAACAGCAGCTTGATTGGGTTATAATTTACATACTACACAATTCACCCATTTAAAATGGGCCAGGTGTGGTGGCTCATGCCTATATTCCCAGCACTTTGGGAGGCTGAGGCGGGTGGATCACTTGAGGTTAGGAGTTCCAGACCAGCCTGGCCAACATGGTGAAAATTCCGTCTCTACTGAAAATAAAACATTTAGCCGGATGTGCTTGCCTTGGACCCAGGAGGCGGAGGTTGCAGTGAGCCCAGGTCACACCGCTGCGCTAGGCCATGGCAACAGAGCAAGATTCTGTCTCAAAAAAAAGAACAGTACTGTTTATGTCCAGAAAAGTGCAGCCATCACCATAGTTTGAAAACCCTTTAGCCCTTCCCCCAAAGGCTCCTTTGACTCATTAGCAGAGTCTCTCCCTTTTTCTCCCTCAGCACCTGGCAACCACAAAGCTCCTTTTTGTCTTTGTGGATTTGCCTGTTCTGGAAAGGGTTGGCTTTTTTTTTTTTTTTTGAGACAGAGTCTTGCTCTGTTGCCCAGGATGGAGTGCAGCAGCGCAATTTCAGCTCACTACAACCTTCACCTCCCAGGTTCAAGTTGTTCTCCTAAGTAGCTGGGATTACAGGCTTGTGCCACCATACTGGCTAATTTTTTTTTTTTTTGAGACAGCGCCTTGCTCTGTTGCCCAGGCTGGAGTGCAATGGCTCACTGCAGCCTCCGCCTCCCAGGTTCAAGTGATTCTTCTGCCTTAGCCTCCTGAGTAGTTGGGATTACAGGTGCCCACCACCACGCCCAGCTAATTTTTCTGTTTTTAGTTGAGACAGGGTTTTGCCATGTTGGCCAGGCTGGTCTCGATCTCCTGACTTCAGGTGATCCGCCCACCTCAGCCTCCCAAAGTGCTGGGATTACAGATGTGAGCCACTGCACCTGGTCACTTGTTTTTTAATCATGCTTCTGGGTTAGTCTGGTGCTACATCTGGGAGCTACTGGCCCAGAGGTGTCCTCAGGTCCCTTGTCTGCCGCTGTCACATCAGGGTCCCAGGCTGGCTGGCTGCAGAGCCAGGGGATGCTCTCATCTCGCTGTGGAGCATGGGAGACTGCAGTGAGTCCACCGCTTCTCATGGCGAATCTGTCCCTTCCCAGTGGTGTCCCAACTCTGCAGCAGTGGCACAGGGGAGCAGTAGGCAGAGGCACCAGGACTCACCACTGTAACAAGAATGGAGAGGATCAGCTGCACCACCACGCTCGGCCCCAGCCTCGAGGGGCAGTGGGGGTGCAGCTCCCTGGGCCAGTGGCCCACAAGGAGCAGGCAGCTTGCTTGGGGCCTGGACTGAGCAGGGTGCATTCCAGCAGGCGCCTGTGAACTTGGAGGACGTAGATGTATACCTTTCTGGGGAGGAGCCAGGACACCTGGACCCAGCTCAGCAAGATGTGCCGCTGGAAAATGAAGGTAACTTGCAAGGGACTCTGTCCTCTAGGGGCCTTGCTAAAAATAGGAACTGTCGGGTGCCAGCTCATGGGCTTGGTTACATTGGGCCAGTTGGCCTGGGGCGGTCTCATGTGCCCAGGGCTGCCCGAATCCCTTCAGGGTCCCAGCTGCAGGGGCTGTACAGCCACTTGGCCAAGGCAGGTGCCCAGAGCTGCCTTGCGATTCCGTTCTTCCATCCCTGCCGCCTACACGTTGGTCCTGCTTCACTTCAGCTGCCCTATGCCCTCCTCTCAAGGGCACAGCTGCTCCCACAGGGCCTGACTCTTCAGCCTCTCCCCATCGCACTGAGCGCCACCCTGGCCCATACGCAGCACTGTCTCCTCAGTTCTTTCTCTGCCCGTTTGTGTCTTTCTGCCTCTCCTGATGCTGCTGGAGCCTTTTCTGGTTTTTATTTTTTGGTTTTTTTTTTTTGAGATGGAATCTTGCTCTGTCATCCAGGCTGGAGTACAGAGGTGTGATCTTGCTTCAAGTGATTCTCCTGCCTCAGCCTCCCAAGTAGCTAGGATTATAGGTACCCGTCATCATGTCTGGCTAATTTTTGTATTTTTTAGTAGAGATGGGGTTTCACCATGTTGGCCAGGCAGGTCTCGAACTCCTGACCTTAGGTGATCTGCCCACCTCAGCTTCCCGGAGTGCTGGGATTACAGACGTGAGCCACCACTCCTGGCCATGCTGAAGTCTTTTCTGTCGACAGTGAGAGGTTGCTTTGTATTAGGGTTCTTCTCCAGAGAAACAGAACCAACAAAAGGTACACACACACATGGATTTATTTTATGGCATGGACACTCAAACAGCTCCCTTGGCTGCTTACAGAAGTTGACAAGTCTGAAATCTGCAGGCCAGACCGGCAGGCTGGAATCTTTGGATTTCTGTGCCATGGTCTCGAGGCAGAGTTCCTTCTTTGGGAAACCTCCAGGATTTTCTTCCTTTTTATGGCTGAAGAATATTCCCTTATGAATAATGCTGCAGTGAATGTGGGTATGCATCTCTGATAAACCCTGCTTTCAGTTCTTGGGGTAGATGTTTCCAGCAGTCAGACGGCTGGCGTGCACATGGTCATTCTGTGTGTAACTTTTTGAGGAATGATTATGCTGTTTTCCATAGCATCCGTATCATCTCACGTACCCACCAAGAGTACACAGGGGTTCCATTTTCTCCACATCCTCACCAGCGCTTGTTATTTTCTGGGGTTTTTTGTGTGTTTTTTCTTTTTTCTTTCTTTTTTTTTTTTTTTTTTTGAGATGGAGTTTCACTCTTGTTACCCAGGCTGGAGTGCAATGGCGCGATCTCGGCTCACCGCAACCTCCGCCTCCTGGGTTCAGACAATTCTCCTGCCTCAGCCTCCTGAGTAGCTGGGATTACAGGCACGCACCACCATGCCCAGCTAATATTTTGTATTTTTAGTAGAGACGGGGTTTCACCATGTCGACCAGGATGGTCTCAATCTCTCGACCTCGTGATCCACCCGCCTCGGCCTCCCAAAGTGCTGGGATTACAGGCGTGAGCCACCGCGCCCGGCCTGTTTTTTCTTTTGAGTCGGGGTCTTGCTCTGTCACCAGGCTGTAGTGCAGTGACGTGAGCTTGACTTGCTGCAACCTCCACCTCCCGGGTTCAGGCGATTCTGTCTGAGGCTCCCGAGTAGCTGGGATTACAGGCATGCACCACCACATCTAGCTAATTGTTGTAGTTTTAGTAGAGGTGGGTTTTGCCATGTTGGCCAGGCCGGTCTCAAATTCCTCACCTTAGGTGATCTGCTAACCTCAGCCTCTCAAATTGCTGGGATTACAGGCGTGAGCTACCGTGCCCAGCCTGATTTGCAAATGTTTTCTCCCATTTTGTGCGTTTTCACTTTGTTGGTAGTGTCCTTTGACGAACAAAGGTTTTTGGTTCTAGTGGCCCTTGTATCATTTTTTTCTTGTGTTGCCTGTGAGCAGGTAGATTTAGATGATGTTGTATGAGACTCTGGTTGGTCATCAGCAGCTTTGGTGATGTGCATCCAGACCAGCAGTCTTGCCCTCTAGGGGACGTCTGTCCATGAGTGGAGACATTTTTGGCTGTTACGATATTTGTCAGCTATCTTTGATGAATGGAGGGCAGGGATGCCACCCCCCCTCCTGCAGTTCATAGGCTGGCCCCTTCAGCAACTCAGCCCGCTCTAGGCCCCATGGATGTCACCGTTACCATGATTGAGGAACCCTGATCTGAAGGTTTCTGAGAGTGTCTTACCTGTGGGCCACTTCATTCCCCGTACCAAAGGCAGGTGGCAAAAGGGAAAGAATTGGCCAGCCCGCCCAACTCCCAAGCGGCCACATGGAATCCTCAGAAGGGAAGGAATGAGGTTCTGCCCAGCTCTGTCACCAGTTCCCGGAGCCCAGACACAGCTTCCCTCCCAGGGTCACAGTCATGAGGTTGGATTTTACTTACCCTGTGCCAGAGCCCATGATAAAAAGGGCCGGTGGGGCCAACAAAAGTTGAATTTATTTGATCGTGCTTTAAAAAAAAAAAAAAAAAAATCCAGATGCGATGCCTCACACCTGTAATTCCAGCACTTTGGGAGGCCAAGGTGGGTGATCACCTGAGGTCAGGAGTTCAACACCAGCCTGGCCAACATGGCAAAACTCTGTCTCTGTTAAAAATACAAAAAAATAGCTAGGTGTGATGGTGAGCGCCTGTAATCCCAGCTACTAGAGAGATGGAGGCAGGAGAATTGCTTGAAACCAGGAGGTAGAGGTCACAGTGAGCTGAGATCGCACCATGGCACTCCAGCCTGGGTGACAGGAGCGAAACTCAGTCTCAAAAAGAAAAAACAAAAATAGGCCGGGTGCGCTGGCTCATACCTGTAATCCTAGCACCTTGAGAGGTCAAGGCAGGTGGATCGCTTGAGTCCAGGAGTTTAAGACCAGTCTGGGTAACATGGAGAAACCTTGTCTCTACAAAAAATGCAAAAATTGCTGGGCATGATGGTGCACACCTGTAGTCACATGTACTTGACAGGCTGATGTGGGAGATCGCTTGAGCCTGGGTTAAGGCAGCAGTGAGCTGTGATTGTACCACTGCACTCTAGCCTGGGCAACAGAGTGAGACTCTGAAAAAAAAAAACAAAATTAACAAATTAGGTTGGTATGTGGTCTCCAAATTTTTACATTTTTTCATGAGATGAAATCCACATAACATAAAATTAGCCATTTTTCAGTGAACAGTTCAGTGGCGTTTAGTATATTCGCAATGTACAATCGTCACCTTTTATTCCAAAACCTTTTATTTGAGACGGGGTCTCACTCTGTCACCCAGGTTGGAATGCAATGGCACAGTGTTGACTCACTGCAGCTTCAACCTCCCAGGCTCAGGTGATTCTCCCACCTCAGCCTCCCAAGTAGCTGGGACTATAGGCCTATGCCACCATGCCCAGCTAATTTGGAAAATTTTTTGGTAGAGATAGAGTCTCACTATGTTATCCAGGCTCAAAAACTTTTTTTTTTTTTTTTTTTTTGAGATGGAGTCTCACTCTATCACCCAGGCTGGAGTGCAGTGGCATGACCTTGACTCACTGCAACCTGTCTCCCGGGTTCAAGCGATTCTCCTGCTTGAGCCTCCCAGGTAGCTGGGATTACAGGCACCCACCACCATGCCCAGCTAATTTTTCTATTTTTAGTAGAGATGGTGTTTTGCCATGTTGGCCAGACTTGGTCTCGAGCTCCTGGCCTGAGGTGATCCGCCCGCCTCAGCCTCCCAAAGTGCTGGTATCACAGGCGTGAGCCACCACGCCCAGCTTCCTCTATTTTATAGATGTAGAATTTGAGGCTCAGTAAGTGCCAAACCCATCTTTGGCTTTCCGGAAGTTGGGGCTGGAGATGGGAGGGGAGGGCAAGGAGGATTTGCCCAGGAGCTCTGGGTGTGGAAGTGTCTTAAAGTGGACATTTCCAAAGGCAGTGGGTGGTTCTGTCCCTCCCCTGTGGGGTCAGCGTGTGCCTGCCATGCACAGAGCTTCTCTCCGGACTAGTGTGAAGATGGCTGTTCCCCCACACCACCAAGCATCATGGTGTACTTTGTGCTACCAGGTCCCCTGTCACCCTCATGCTGCAGACGAGCAGAAAAGTCAAGGGCTTTTTCCTGAAAGGGGCAAAGCCTGGATCACTACAGGCCCCCTCTTCCTGTTCTCCTGTACTGATGGTGTCGGCTCTAGAACTTGGATCTGCAGAGGGGCATCAGTGGCTGCACCAAGTATATGACAAGAGAGGGCCAATGGCTGGGACCCATGACTGCCCTGCTCAGCCAGAGCAGCCCAGAGCAGGGCTTCTCGACGTTGGTGCTGTTGGCGTTCGGGCCGGATGGCTCTCCACGTGGGGCTGCCTGTGCTGGCAGGAGCTTTTCCAGCTGCCCAGGCCCCTGCCCACTAGAGGCCACTTATAACCCCCTCCCCAGACTTGACAAAAATGTTTCCAGACCTTGCCACCAGGTGGGAACCCCTGGCTTAGAGCATACAGCAGAGTCCAGAGCTTGATGGCCCTCGCTCTGTAACTTACCAGCCCAGTGATTCTGGGTAAGTTCCTTAACACTTTTGTGCCTCAGTTTCCCCATCTGCAAGATGGAGATAGTAACAGCACTGACCTACTGGTTATTGTGATGGTTAAATAAGTTCCTGTGTGTTTGTTTTATTGATTTAGTTTTTGAAACAGGGTATCACTCTGTCACCCAGGCTGGTGTGCAGTGGCATGATCATGGCTCACTGCGGCCTTGACCTCCTGGATGCAAGTGATCCTCCCACCTCAGCCTCTTGAGTAGCTAGGACTCAATGCCTAGGACTCAATAGCTAGGACTCACCACCATGCCCAGCTAATTTTGTTTACTTTCTTTTGAGACAAAATCTCACTGTCTTGCCCATGCTGGTCTTGAACTCCTGGGCTCAAACAATCCTCTTGCCTCAGCCTCCCAAAGTGCTGGGATTACAGGCATGGGCCACCGTGCCGGGTCCCTGCTAGATGTTTCATAGGGGAACTTTAGGAGCCCCATAAAGCCTTCATCTTCCTTTCTATTAGAAGTATTTCCTAGCTGGGCACGGTGGCTCACTCCCGTAATCCCAGCACTTTGGGGGGCCGAGGCGGGCAGATCATCTGAGGTTAGGAGTTTGAGACCAGCCTGGCCAACATGGTGAAACTCCATCTCTACTAAAAATACAAAAATTAGCCCAGCGTGGTGACAGGCGCCTATAATCCCAGCTACTTGGGAGGCTGAGGTAGGAGAAGTACTTAAACCTGGGAGGTAGAGGTTGCAGTGAGCCGAGATCATGCCATTGCACTTCAGCCTGGCAGACAAGAGCAAGACAATCTCAAGAAAAACAAATCATTTCCGCCGGGCGCGGTGGCTCAAGCCTGTAATCCCAGCACTTTGGGAGGCCGAGGCGGGTGGATCACGAGGTCAAGAGATCGAGACCATCCTGATCAACATGGTGAAACCCCGTCTCTACTAAAAATACAAAAAACAGCTGGGCATGGTGGCGCGTGCCTGTAATCCCAGCTACTTAGGAGGCTGAGGCAGGAGAATTGCCTGAGCCCAGGAGGCGGAGGTTGCGGTGAGCCGAGATCGCGCCATTGCACTCCAGCCTGGGCAACAAGAGCGAAACTCCGTCTCAAAAAAAAAAAAAAAAAAAAAAAAAAAGAAAAACAAATCATTTCCCTTGCTCTCTTGCCATGAATTCCTAGAGACTATGCTTTCTTTGTCTCAGGACCTGTGATCCAGTTGGTGGACGGTGGTGACGGCAGAGAGGACGCCCCGGTGAGGATGGAGTGGTACCAAGTGTTCTCAGCGCGATGCCAGGGCCCTGGCCACCCGCTCCCAAGTCAGAGGCCAGCCCCAGTCAGGGGCTTGGCCAGGCCTGAACAACCAAGAGGTGGCCCCCCACCAGGAAGAGGGGTTTCTCATGGGGCTGACAAGCCATACACCTGCCCCCAGTGTGGCAAAGGCTTCAGCAAAACGTCCCACCTGACCAAGCACCAGCGCACACACACGGGTGAGCGGCCTTACAAGTGCCTGGTGTGTGGGAAGGGCTTCAGCGACCGCTCCAACTTCAGCACACACCAGAGGGTGCACACGGGCGAGAAGCCCTACCCGTGCCCCGAGTGCGGGAAGCGCTTCAGCCAGAGCTCCAGCCTGGTCATCCACCGCAGGACGCACAGCGGGGAGCGGCCCTACGCCTGCACCCAGTGCGGGAAACGCTTCAACAACAGCTCCCACTTCAGCGCTCACCGCCGGACGCACACAGGTGAGAAGCCCTACACCTGCCCGGCCTGTGGCAAGGGCTTCCGCCGGGGCACCGACCTGCACAAGCACCAGCGGACCCACACAGGGGCAGGCTCCCTGCTAACGCTCCCACCAGTGGCTCCTGGAGGCTCTGGGGCCAAGGCCTGATCACCCAGTGCCTGAAGCTGCCTTTCCAGGACTCTCATCCCTGGGCACAGAATTCAGGAAGCTGCCAGAGACCCTGGTCCGAAAGCATTGCCTGTTGCCTCCCGTGGCCCAGTATGAGGGCAGCAGGAGACATTTGGGATGCTCAGACCGAGGAGGAAGCTGGGCACTGGGCACAGAGCAAGGGCAAGGACAGGCTGTGTGAGTGTCCAGTGGCGGCCAGAACAGACGAGACAGAGCGAGGGCTTCAGACACAGCGACACACTCAGGAAGCCAGAAGCTCGCACCCAAGGCGTTGGTGGGGCTGGCTCCTGGAGGGCCTGGGAGCTCCATCAGCCTCCCACAGCGTCCGGTAGCTGCTGGCATGTACCCTCATCACTGCGTCCCTACCCATCCCCTGTGTGTCTGTGACCTTGTGCACCATCTTTGTGTCCTCCCCTGCCCTTCTTTTTTTTTAAAGACAGGGCCTTGCTCTAGAGTGAAGTGCCATGATCATAGCTTACTGCAGCCTCGAACCCCTGGGCTCAAGTGATCCTCCTGCCTTGGCCTCCTGAGTAGCTGGGTTGCAGATGTGTGCTGCCATGCCCAACCTCTGTTTGGTGGGGCCACCACCCACTTGGTTTAGGTTCCCCTAATTGCCTGTAACCTCATCTTAACTAATTATATCATCAAAACCCGTGTTTGCAAACAAGGTCACATTCTGAGGTCTGGACATGAATTTGAGGGGCCCCTCTCTGGCCTGCCATAAGGAGACCTGATGTACCTCAGCCTTCCCAGGACCTGGTCTCCAGCTTCTCCTCCATTCTGCCAGGGTTTCCAAATGAAGCCTGGGGCTGGCCAGCATTCCAGTCCCTTTTGCAGATCCGTATCTGCTCTGCCGGCTGGCAGACACCTGGGGCGGGAACACAACCCTAAGTTCCATCTTCCTGACCTGTCACCAGGGATGTGATGGGCCTGACACCTCTCCAGGGATGGGGCTCAGGGCTGCCTTTGCTTCTGGCTCATTAGTGTCTGGGACATGGCCTTCCATGGTCGCCCCACTTTGTCTTTCTAAGTTAAGAAGCCTTCACCTTCCAGCTTCTGTCTGGCCTGTGCTGTGTGGGAGCGTCTGGTCTGTACACATTGTCTCAGCCTGTGAGTGGCAGAGGCAAGTGGTGTAATAGAGTCCTTGGTGTGTGTAGTTGTCTCAGAAGTCATAGGACAGCTGTGGATACCACTGGGTTCTGGAATGTTCCAGCCAGGCAGTGGTGGTTCCTCATGGATAGGTAGCCTTGGCCCTTGTCCCAGCCTGGGATGCTCCGTTCCATTTGGCACCCGGTCACTGTATATACATGCACAGTTTGATCTTGTGGCACAGCCCATGTTCCAGCTGCATGACCTGCCCTTTCCTTGTTCCTTAACTAACGTAAGTAGTCAGTGCTCCTGGCCCCTGTGTACTCTGTCCTGTGTCTGCAGAGTGGGGCTGCCTGGTTTAAGAACGGCTTTTACCTTCTAGATCAGCTCTGGGAGCTCTCATGGGGCATACGGTACCCAGCCAGATGTGGCCAGGTCACCTTCCCACCAGTTAGCAAAGCACCTGGTGTTGCTGACACCCATCTGCCCGTTGCAGCCTGAGCCCCCAGGACTCTTGCATGAAGTCCTGTGCTGGAGGTGGCAGCCTGAGGGGAAGTGTGATTGGGGTCTGCCCACTTCCTTTGCTCTGCTGTGGCCATGGCCTCCCGCTGGCTTATTAGAGGGTCCCTTCCCGTGTAGGTGTCATCCTCAGTACTCACGTGATGGAGTGTCACAGGAGCTGTGAGGCCCAGGTGCGTGCATGCTGTGATGTTCTCTCATGCATTCCAGTGGAGGGGGGCTCCCATGATTGCTTTTTTTTTTTTTTTTTTTTTTTTTTTTTTTTGAGATGGAGTTTTTCTCTGTTGCCAGGCTTGGAGTGCAGTGGTGCGATCTAGGCTCACTGCAACCTCTGCCTCCTGGGTTCAAGCAATTTTCCTGCCTCAGCCTCCAGAGAACTTGGGACTACAGGCACCTGCCACCACACCCAGATAATTTTTCTATTTTTAGTAGAGACGGGGTTTCATCATGTCGGCCGGGATGGTCTTGATCTCTTGACGTCGTATCTGCCTGCCTCAGCCTCCCAAAGTGCTAGGATTACAGGCGTGAGCCACCGCGCCTGGCCATGATTCTCTGGGTAGAGGAACTGGGGCACTGGGAGCGTGAAAACCTTGCCTAGGTGGTGGAGCCAACTTAGGACCCAGGTCTGACTTCCCACCCCTTTGCCCTTGCCTTGACAGACACTTAATTCACAGAGTTGAACTTGGAACAGTTTATTTTCCATCACTGTAGGACATTCTCAGTGAGCTTACTGGCATTAAAGGGGCAGGGGATGATGGAAGAAAATGCGGTTAAAGAATAAAAACAGCTTTGGCTTTTTACAACTAGGCAGCCACAGCAGAGGCTGCCAGGCTGTGAGGGCAGAGTATGGGGTTATAGCCCGGTTCTGGCTGCCTGTAGGGTCTCTGCAGATGGGAGAGGGCCTGGGAGCTGGGAGGCCGCCTGGCCTTGTGCCCTGCAGAAGGGGCCTCCCGGGAGGCCCCTTGTGGTATCCTGTCTTGCCTTTGGCTTGTAAGGAAAACACCACTCCATTGTGAGGTCAGGTGTGGGGTCCCCATTGCTAGATCACATGGGGTCTAGAGAGCAGAGGTCTGTGGCCCCAGTCTTGGCAGCCTGTGGCCATGGCCAGGCAGGGCCTGTCTTTTGCCTGGTACAGGGCTTGATGCGGAGACCCTTGCCTATCCTTGGTGGCATGGCAGAGGGGGGTGAGCCACAGGGGAAGCTGGGACACTTGACCAAAGGCCAGGTGCCCTGCTGTGCTGCCTGAGCCCAAGGTGCAGTGGGGCCCGAGGTGGTAATTTCTCTGTTCTTCCCACAGAGCAGGCAGCAGGACACATCCTGGAGACAAGGTAGGGGAGAGAACAGGTGCCGAGGTCAGGGCTGATCACAGCAGTTAGAAAAGCTTCCTGTGAAGATGGGGCTGTAGGATGGTGCTGGTAAAGAAGCAGGACCCAGAAAGACCAGACATGTCCTGTCGGTGGGCTGGGTCTCGGCAGGGGGCAAGCAGCTGTCCCCAGCTCTTGGTGGTGATAAGCAACTGAGGCCACTGCTCCACGCTACACAGGACAGCGTTTCCAGGGGTTTCCTGTATTCTGTCTAGATTCATAAAGGTCAAAGGCCTTGAGAGCCTATGTGTGCCTATCTTAGGTAAAGAAGAGAAAGAGAAAGCCAATTCTCATCGTTACCCCTCTTTCAAAAAGTTCATTAAGAGCCAGGCATGGCATTTCACCCCTGTCGTGCTGTCCCTGCCCATCTCTTAGAGGACCAGACCCCTTTATCCCAAGCTATTGTGTGTTAGGTACAGATTTGTGTCTGCATCCTTGCTCTAAAGGCATGCATCTATGACAGCTCTAACAGGTTTGGCGACAGACCAGTCTGAGGGTCCCTGCCTCTGGAAGGCCCCTGCTAGTGGAAATGCAGGGATAGCAAAGGGACAGCAGGGCCCAGGGTCCATGACAAGTCAGCCCGCCCCTGCCCACTCCTGGGATCCCACTACCTGGGGTGTCTACAGTTGGTCCAGAGGAGGTACCAGGGCCTCCCTGGCTGCCTCTGGCTCTACAGTGTGCCCTAGGGCTCTGGGTCTGCCTCCTGGGAGTCGGGCCTGGGCATTCTGCCTCTTGGCGCAGAGCTTCATGTGTTGCTTCCTCCAAGTTTCTGATCCATCAGCATCTTCAGGGAGCTGAACACCCCCACCACCAGGCCCCTTGCTGGCAGGCAGCTCAGGCTGGGCTGTCCTGTTCCGAAAGGCCCTGATCTGCTGGAGAAGCTGGCTCTTCCCGGTACAGCTCCTGTGACACGAGACCAAACTCACTCAACCCTGTGGGGTCCGCACCTCCCAGCACTCGCCACTGAAACGGGAGAAAAGCAGGTGGGCCCAGCTCCCATTTCAGTGTAAGAATGCCATTCAGGTGGCCAATTGCCGCTGCCAGTGCTGGGACCCAGTGGACATGGGTGAGATGATGGAAGCTGTGCCGCCCCCTTGCCCTATGCAATAGGTGCAGCAGGACCTCATCACAGGCGGTAAATATGCCAGGTGGAGGGCTTCCTGTGGGAAGCAGAGGTGGGATATCCGCAGGTGGCGGAAAGCCCCTTGGTGGTTACCGTAGCCCCAGGGAGGAAGCAGATGCCCCCTCTGCGTCTCCCACAGCTGCCATCTCCTCTTCCTCCTCCTCCTCCTCGCTATCAGAGGAGCTGTGGGGGAGAGAAATGGGTTTCCAGATGTGCCCATTCCACCCAGCATTCCGACTCCTGTTGGGGCTTAAGGCACTCGGGCTTCCCTGGTGACCCAATACAAGAGGGCAATGGCCACATTGGAGGCTGGCGGGCGTCCTGCCAGGAGGCGGGGCAGGTGTGGGTAATGCCCTGCAGCTTAATGTGTTGGGCTCCAGCCCAGCTTGAGGGGGTGTGCCCAGTGCCCCTCTTCCCTCCCTCCCTCCAGGGACCCAGGGGGACTCTACGCCAGGCCCAGTTCACCCATGCTAAAAGCACTTGTCAATTGAGCAACGATCCAAAGCCTTTTGAAATCCCTGGTCCTTCCCAGTGGGATCCACCAGAAGCTCTGTGAGGTCAACAGACAGCTTTGCAAAGTGGAGGCTGCCATGGGGTAGTCACTGCCCTCCGGACCTTTCCGGGAACAGGCGGCCTGGTGGCTCCGTCTGCCGCAGGTCAATGAAGATGGTGGGGGGCTCCATGTTAAGCCTCATAGGCTCGGCCAGCTGCAGGCCTGGCACAGCCTGGGAGCCTGGCTTCCTTGAAGCACATCTGAGATGAGAGAAGCAGGCATTGTGGAGTCACTTGTCTGTGATGACTGTTTGTCCAGTCACAGTGCTCATGGCTGCCACCCAGTGAGTGTCCACTCTCTGCCAACGGGCACATCAAACATATTTGCTTTTTTACTCTTCAGAACAGCCCTCAAGATTTAGGCCAGCGCTGGCCAACAGAACTTCCCTGATGATGGAGATGCTCTCTATCTGTGGTAAGTATAGCCATTTGCCACAAATGGCTAAGTTTACATTTAAGCCAATTATAATCAAAGGAATAAAAAATTTAGTTCCTCAGTCACACTCGCCATGTTAGGTGTTTAACAGCCACACATGGCTAATGGCTGTCATGGTCAATAGTGCAGGTCTCACCATTTCTTTTTACATTTTTTTTTTTTGAGGAGGAGTCTTGCTCTGTTGCCCAGGCTGGACTGCAGTGACGAGACCTTGGTCACTGCAACCTCCGCCTCCTGGGTTCTAGCAATTCTCTCCCCTTACCGTCCTGAGTAACTGGGATTACAGGCATGCACTACCAAGCCCAGATTATTTTTACGTATTTTTAGTAGAGATGGGATTTCGGCATGTTGGCAAGGCTGGTCTCGATCTCCTGACCTCAGGCAAACCACCCACCTTGGTCTCCCAAAGTGCTGGTATTATAGGTGTGAGCCACCATGCCCAGCCAGGCCTAGGCATCTCTGTTAGGTACTTTTAGTTTCCAGGCACAGAAATCCACTGCTGCTCAGGTGAAAAGGGATTCACTGGCTGTCAGATTCCTAAAGTGTGCGACAATTAAACTGTGGGGAGAGCACGTATATCATAGGGCCTTAAGGGACCCTGGGGCTCTGCGTCCACCTCTGCCTCTCCCAGCTTCACTGCAGCTTGCCTTTCTCCCTGTGGGGAGCAACTGCCTGATCAGATGTTTGAGGGTGACTGAGAAAATGCACATCGAGCACCCCACCCTTAGTAGGCCGAGTCAGTGCTGCCAAACCATGGGGCCCTTCTAAAGGACGACAGGAGCCGCGCCTGGCTACAAGTCCCACCTGTTTCGGGCCTTTGCCTCCTCGGTGTCCTGGGGGGTGTTGGCAGGCATCTTCTGGGCACAAGCAGAGGCCCCAGACTGCGTGGTGCACAGGAGGGCCAGCTGTTCCATGAGCCTGTCTTGAGCGCTTGGCAACGTGCGGTCTGAGAATGGCCAAAGGAGGCCGATTACTGAGGACTTGGCCCCAAGCATGGCTTACAGCAGCTCGAGCCTCAGGATCCCTGGGGTCTCCGTGTATGAACGGACCTCAGACTCCTCCACTGCCCCGCCCAGCCCTCTCACTACTCAACCCTCTGAGGACTCCACCTCTGACTCAGCAGAGCTGGCAGGGGTGGAATCTTTACGAGCAGGGCCTGTGGCACATGAGCTTTGTAAAGCAGGAGTGACATTTTTTTTTTTTTTTTTTTTTTTTGAGGCGGAGTTTCACTCTTGTTACCCAGGCTGGAGTGCAATGGCGCGATCTCGGCTCACCGCAACCTCCGCCTCCTGGGTTCAGGCAATTCTCCTGCCTCAGCCTCCTGAGTAGTTGGGATTACAGGCACGTGCCACCATGCCCAGCTAATTTTTTGTATTTTTAGTAGAGACGGGGTTTCACCATGTCGATCAGGATGGTCTTGATCTCTTGACCTTGTGATCCACCCGCCTCGGCCTCCCAAAGTGCTGGGATTACAGGCTTGAGCCACCGCGCCCGGCTTAGGAGTGACATATTTTTAAAAGTTTATCCCACTTCCTCATGCCCAGGTCCCACTTGTCACAGGTGATCATAATGAACAGTTCTGTGTGCTGATGTAAAATAAAGAAAATAGGATCATCCTCTATAGGTTTTTTCAACTTAACTTTTTTCCCTTTCTACATTATATCCTTCCAAGTTAACCTACAGAGATCCCCTCACTGAGCTGCAGCGTTTTCTGTGCTAGAATGATCTAGCTGGACTCCTACTGAATATGGGTTGCTTCCAGCTTTTCAGATTTTTTTTTTTTTTTTTTTTTTTTTTTTGAGATGTTGTCAGGCTGGAGTGTAATGAGCATTCTCGGCTCACTGCAACCTCCGCCTCCCTGGTTCAAATGATTCTCCTGCCTCAGTCTCCCGAGTAGCTGGGATTACAGCATGTGCCACCACGTCCAGCTAATTTTTGTATTTTTAGTAGAGACCGTTTCACCATGTTGGCCAGGATGGTCTCGATCTCCTGACCTCATGATCCATCTGCCTCAGCCTCCCAAAGTCCTGGGATTACAGGCATGAGCTACCACGCCCGGCCAGCTTTTCAGATTTTTTTTAAAGACAGGGTTTCACCGTGTTGCTCAGGCTGGTCTTGAACTCCCGACCTCAGGTAATCCACCCGCCTTGGCCTCCAAAGTGCTTGGATTACAGGCATGAGCCACCACACCTGGCCGCTTTTCAGATTTTTAAACAACACTGCAGCAAACATCTTTGAACCCACATCTTTACCTACTAGAGTAAGAGTGTAGGACAAATTTTCCAAGCGAGATAGCTTGATCAAAGGGTATGTGCCTTTAAAATAGAGAATACAGTCTGGCCATGGTGGCGCACATCTGTAATCCCAGCACTTTGGGAGGCTGAGGTGGGTGGATCACCTGAGGTCAGAGTTCAAAGGCCAGCCTAACCAACATGGAGAAACCCTGTCTCTACTAAACACAAAATTAGTGGGGCGAGGTGGCCCATGCCTGTAATCCCACTACTCTGGAGGCTGAGGCAGGAGAATTGCTTGAACCCAGGAGGCAGACGCTACAGTGAGCCCAGATCGTACCACTGCACTAGAGCCTGGGCAACAAGAGTGAAACTCCGTCTCAAAAAGAAAAAAAGGAATACATTCTGCCCCACTCTCCGCCTCAAAGGGAGTGCCAGTCACACTCACACGCACACAAACAAACACACACACGCTCTCCATAAGGGTCGACCTCTCTACCTCCCGCCATAAGGGGTGTGAATTACAAACAAAATGATATTTAGGACAACTCAGGGGCTGTCTGTCACAGGGGAGTCTTTGCCTTGGGACAAGAGGAGAGGCGGAAGCTCCACACCTGCCGTGGCTCCTCTGCCTCAGACCTACCTCCCCTCGCCTTTGCAGCCCCAGTGGGTGGGGAGGGGTTACAGAGCTTTCGTTTTACTTGCAGGACTTCCCAGAGCAAAGCCAACAGTGTAGTGACAATGGTGACATCATTTGCCTCCCTTTTTAAATGGAGAGGCCGGGGAAGCAGGAGTGTGTTTAGGAGCTGACTGCACAGAAGGTGGGGCTGAGGAAGGGGAAGGGGAAGGCAGGAAGGCCCAGCGAGGTGGGGAGGAGGGCGTATGGGTCCTGCGGTTGGGATGTGTGTTGGCAGGCCTCTTCTTTGTCCCTGGGACCTGGCCCAGGCCTAGCACATAACAGGTGGTCACAATATATGTTGAATGAATGAAGTCTTTCAAGGACTGGCAGCATGAGTGTTCAGGGCTAGGCCTGCAGGGAAGACACCTGTGGGCTGCAAGGCTGTCTGTGCCTGAGGGTCTCAGGGAGGAGCTGCTTGTGGGGTTCACTTGGGCTCTAGTGTTCAAGGTCAGACCTTGAACTTGGCGGCGGTCAGCTGCCCACCACGCAGTTCCAGGTGCACGATTTCCCTGGTTGTCTTCTTGCCCCTCCAGACTCTGAAGGATGTAATCCAAATCCCACGCTTCAAGTTGCTGAAATCATTAAAACCAGTGATTATGAGGATGCCAAGGGGTCCCAGAGGCATGAGTACCTGCTTCACAGCTGCTGAAACCCATGGAGATGGTCATTGGATGTTGGGGGTAGAAATCAGGAATGAAATGTATGACAGAGTTGATTACAGTTTGAATACCCATTAAGGTGGCACCTGCACTTTGCCACCTCCTTCCTATGCTTTTTGGGGGATCAGTACTTTTGTTTCTTGCACAAGGACATTGTTTGACCTGAAGGAAACCCTGTGTTGTTGTTTAGTTTTGTTTTGTTTTTGAGACAGAGTCTTGCTCTGTCACCCAGGCTGGAGTGCAGTGACGTGATCTTGGCTCACAGCAACCTCTGTCTCCCAGTGAAAGGCGTATACCACCACATCTGGCTAACTTTATTATTTTTTTTTGTATTTTTAGTATTTTTGTGTGTGTGTATATATATATATATATATATATATATATATATATATATGTATTTATTGAGACAGAGTTTCGCTCTTGTTACCCAGGCTGGAGTACAATGGCGCGATCTCGTCTCACCACAACCTCCGCCTCCTGGGTTCAGGCAATTCTCCTGCCTCAGCCTCCTGAGTAGCTGGGATTACAGGCACGTGCCACCATGCCCAGCTAATTTTTTATATTTTTAGTAGAGACGGGGTTTCACCATGTTGACCAGGATGGTCTCGATCTCTTGACCTCGTGATCCACCCGCCTTGGCCTCCCAAAGTGCTGGGATTACAGGCTTGAGCCACCCCGCCCAGCCTATATATTTATTTTTGTATTTTTAGTAGCGATTTTACCATGTTGGCCAGGCTGGTCTCAAACAAACTCCTGACCTCAGGTGATCCACCAGCCGCAGCCTCCCACAGTGTTGGGATTACAGGCATTAGCCACCACGCCCAGCCTAATTTTTGTATAGTAGAAACACGGTTTCACCATGTTGGCCAGGCTGGTCTTGAATGCCTGACTGCAAGTGATCCATCCTCCTTGGCCTCCCAAAGTGCTGGGATTACAGGCGTGAGCCACTGTGCCCAGCCAAACCCTGTGTTGTTTTAAGAAAAACTAGGTTCACTGGGCATGGTGGCTCACGCCTGTAATCCCAGCACTTTGAGAGGCCCAGGTGGGTAGATCACGAGGTCGGGAGTTCAAGACCAGCCTGGCCAAGATGGTAAAATCCCGTCTCTACTACAAATATAAAAATTAGCTGGGCGTGGTGGTGCGTGTCTGTAATCCCAGCTACTAGGGAGGCTGAGGCAGGAGAATCACTTGAACCTGGAAGGTGGAGGTTGCGGTGAGCCAAGATCGCACCATTGCACGCCAGCCTGGGTAACAAGAGCGAGACTCCATCTCCAAAAAAAAAAAAAAAGAAAAGAGGCCAGGCGCGGTGGCTCAAGCCTGTAATCCCAGCACTTTGGGAGGCCGAGGCGGGTGGATCACAAGGTCAAGAGATCGAGACCATCCTGGTCAACATGGTGAAACCCCGTCTCTATTAAAAATACAAAAAAAATAGCTGGGCATGGTGGTGCGTGCCTGTAATCCCAGCTACTTAGGAGGCTGAGGCAGGAGAATTGCCTGAACCCAGGAGGCGGAGGTTGCGGTGAGCCGAGATCGCGCCATTGCACTCCAGCCTGGGTAACAAGAGCGAAACTCCGTCTCAAAAAAAAAAAAAAAAAAAAGAAAAGAAAAACTATTTGGGTTCATACAGGTTCAGAATATTTGGAGGTTAAAAAGTTTTGTTAAGAATCAAGTTGTTCCAGGCAGGAGCTAAAACTGGAAGACTTGGCAGTGAGTGATTGGGGGCAGAGTGAGTGTGAGGAGGAAGGAGGAAATTAATCAAGAATTCATGCTTATCATATGACCTTTCAACTCTCTCCGGCCCTCTAAGTGGAGAAAAACAAGTTTTTAGGTGAGAAGAAAGAACAGTTGATTTAAACAGTAATGAAGATGACTTCTTTGTATACCTGGTGCCAGTTTTCTCTAAGCTGTTAAGAAAAATTATCCAAAATTTGTAAAACCAGGAGGTGTGATGGTTACTTTTCTTTTTTTTTCTTTCTTTTTTTTTTTTTTTTTGAGACAGAGTTTCGCTCTTGTTACCCAGGCTGGAGTGCAATGGCACGATCTCGGCTCCCTGCAACCTCCGCCTCCTGGGTTCAGGCAATTCTCCTGCCTCAGCCTCCTGAGTAGCTGGGATTACAGGCACACGCCACTATGCCCAGCTAATTTTTTGTATTTTTAGTAGAGACAGGGTTTCACCATGTTGACCAGGTTGGTCTCGATCTCTCAACCTTGTGATCCACCCGCCTCGGCCTCCCAAAGTGCTGGGATTATAGGCTTGAGCCACCGCGCCCGGCGATGGTTACTTTTCTGTTTAGTAGACAAGATAACTCCTCTAGGACACTGAATGTAGCAAGCCTATCTCATTCCTCATTTTTTCCCCAGTGTTTTTACAAAATCCCAATTTCTTTCTTTCTTTTTTTTTTTTTTAGATGGAGTTTCACTTTGTCACCCAAATTGGAGTGCAGTGGTGTGATCTTGGCTCACTGCAAATTCCATCTCCTGGGTTAAAGGGATTCTCCTGCCTCAGCCTCCCAAGTAGCTGGGACTACAGGCGTGCACCACCACACTTGCCTAATTTTTAGTAGAGTTGGGGTTTTCCCATGTTGGCCAGGCTGGTCTCGAACCCCTGATCTCAGGTAATCCTCCTGCCTTGGCTTCCCAAAGTGCTGGGATTACAGGCATGAACCACCATGCCCGGCAAAAATCCCAATTTCTCATGATTTCATTAAGCCAGCTCTGTCATCCTGCTGGTTCCCTCATTAAAGCACTAAATACAACTTTTTTTTTTTTTTTTGAGATGGAGTTTCGCTGTTGTTACCCAGGCTGGAGTGCAATGGCGCGATATCGGCTCACCGCAACCTCCGCCTCCTGGGTTCAGGCAATTCTCCTGCCTCAGCCTCCTGAGTAGCTGGGATTACAGGCACGTGCCACCATGCCCAGCTAATTTTTTGTATTTTTAGTAGAGACGGGGTTTCACCATGTTGACCAGGATGGTCTCGATCTCTTGACCTTGTGATCCACCCGCCTCGGCCTCCCAGAGTGCTGGGATTACAGGCGTGAGCCACCGCGCCCAGCTGCACTAAATACAACTTTTTACCGGGTGCTCACTAGTTTATGAGAATGAGGACTTTCATAATTTGAGATCAGGCTTTGACAGAACCGGTTTCTATATTTTAGATATGGTTATATATGTATCTATAAAAATGCTTGGGAGTAGAATTCCTTTTCTCTCTCTCTCTCTCTTTTTTCTGCTTTTACTTTATTTTTATTGCATTTTAGGTTTTGGGGTACATGTGAAGAACATGCAAGATTGTTGCATAGGTACACACACACGGCAGTGTGATTTGCTGCCTTCCTCCCCTTCTCTCTCTTTTTTTGAGACAGTTTTCCTGTCACTAGGCTGGAGTGCAGTGGCGTGATCTCGGCTCACTGCAACCTCCATCTCCAGGTTCAAGCAATTCTCCTGCCTCAGCCTCACAAGTAGCTGGGACTACAGGCATGCGCCACCAAGCCTGGCTAATTTTTCTGTATCTTTAGTAGAGATGGGGTTTCAACCATGTTGGCTAGGGTGGTCTTGATCTCCTAACCTTGTGCTCTGCCCGCCTTGGCTTCCCGAAGTGCTGGGATTACAGGTGTGAGCCACCGCACCTGGCCCTTTTTCTCTCTCTCTCTTTTTTTTTTTTTTGAGATTGAGTTTCGCTCTTGTTACCCAGGCTGGAGTGCAATGGCACGATCTCGGCTCACCGCAACCTCCGTCTCCTGGGTTCAGGCAATTCTCCTGCCTCAGCCTCCTGAGTAGCTGGGATTACAGGCACGTGCCACCATGCCCAGCTAATTTTTTGTATTTTTAGTAGAGACAGGGTTTCCCCATGTTGACCAGGATGGTCTCTATCTCTTGACCTCATGATCCACCCGCCTCGGCCTCCCAAAGTGCTGGGATTACAGGCTTGAGCCACCGCGCCCGGCCTTCTCTTTTTAAATTTATATATTATTTCTTTTTTTTTTTTTTTTAGGGATGAGGGGCTGTCTCAAACTTCTGGATTCTCCCCTTGGCCTCCCAAAGTGCTGGGATTACAGGTATGAGCTGCTGTGCCTGGCCTTCTTTTCTCTTCTTTAAAGAAGGCAGGCCCTGCTTGTTCTGTTCTTGTTAACCCTTCCCAGGATGTGCTCTGCTGGGACCGCCCCAATCCCCTGCTAAGTCAGGTACACAGAATGGTGGATCATGGGCCTAAGGTCCTAGCGGGCAGCCCTCAAGCTGCTTCTAGCCCCAGCCCATGGGGACAGTGGCCATGCAACAGGTGAGGCCTGAGAACAGCCAGGCATGGGGAGGCACCTACCTGAAACGAGAGTACTGGTGGTCCCTCCTGAGGCTCTGCAAGGGGTATTCTGGGCCTGGGAGCTGACTCCATAGCAGGACAGGGCGCCTCCTTCACCCGGCCTTGGTCACTGCTGGCTGGGTTGCAGGCATCCCAGGTGACTTTCTGGAGGATGTCCCTCTCTATCATCTTCCTTCTTTCCCGTCGGAGGGCCCGACAGTTCACAGATTCTCGTGAGTCAGTCCTGGGGGACTCTGCCTTCAGGTCTCCTTCATGGCAGGAGACAGCGGCTTTGGCCTGTGTGTCCCATGGAGGACCCTGGGATCCTTTGGTGTTGAAAGACAGGCTTCCAAGGTCACCTTCCAGCCACCTGGGCGTCTCCTTGGCCATCCCAAGAGGAGAGATGACCTCACAAGAGCATTCAAAAGGCCTGCCAGGGTCTTTTCCTTTCTTAGAAGACACATCCTTTGTCCTTGTGTTCTGAGTGCTCCCAGGTTCTGCGGCGAATTCCGCAGGCACCAGAACTGGCTGTCAAGAATACAGGTGTGTTCAGTTAGCATCCTCAAAAACATGCTTCAGGGAATTTTTTTAATAGCAAAATATGTACATAATTTTTTTTTTTTTTTTTTTTTAAGATGGGGTTTCACCATGTTGGCCAGGCTGGTCTTGAACTCCTGACCTCAGGTGATCCACCCGTCTCAGCCTCCCAAAGTGCTGAGATTACAGGTGTGAGCCACCACACCTGGCCAATTTTGGTTTTTTTTGAGGTGAAGTCTCGCTCTGTCGCCCAGGCTGGAGTACAGTGGTGCAATCACAGTTCACTGCAGCCTCGACTTCCCTGGCTCAGGCGATCTTCCAACCTCAGCCTCCCAAGTACCTAGGATGACAGATAGATACTACCACACCCAGTTATTTTTTTTTCCCTCTCATGAGGTTTCATTTTTTAAAATATTATTTTGTAGTGACAGAGTCTCTGCAAAATAATTTTTTTTTTGAGATGCAGTTTTGCTCTTGTTGCCCAGGCTAGAGTGCAATGGCACAGTCTTGGCTTACCTCAACCTTTGCCTCCCGGGTTCAAGCAGTTCTCCTGCCTCAGCCTCCCAAGTAGCTGGGATTACAGGCAATGTGCCACCACACCCGGCTAATTTTCTATTTTTAGTAAAGATGGGTTTCTCCATGTTGGTCAGGATGGTCTCAAACTCCTGACCACAGGTGATCTGCCCACCTTAGCCTCCCAAAGTGCTGGGATTACAGGTGTGAGCCACTGCACCCGGCTGCAAAATAATTTTTTTTGTTGTTGCAAAATGTTTTAAGTATATACTTTACTTAAAATACAAAAATTAGGCCGGGCACGGTGGCTCAAGCCTGTAATCCCAGCACTTTGGGAGGCCGAGGCGGGTGGATCATGAGAAGAGATTGAGACCATCCTGGTCAACATGGTGAAACCCCGTCTCTACTAAAAATACAAAAAATTAGCTGGGCGTGGTGGCGCATGCCTGTAGTCCCAGCTACTCGGGAGGCTGAGGCAGGAGAATTGCTTGAACCCAGGAGGCGGAGGTTGCAGTGAGCCGAGCTCGCTCCATTGCACTCCAGCCTGGGTAACAAGAGCGAAACTCCGTCTAAAAAAAAAAAAAAAAAATTAGCCAGTATGGTCGCTCACATGTAATCCCAGCTACTCAAGAGGCTGAAGTAGGAGGATTGCTTCAGCTCAAGAGGTGGAGGCTGCGTTGAGCCAGGAGGGCACCACTGTACTCCAGCCTGGGTGACATGAGACCCTGTCTCAAAAAAAATAAATAAATAAATAAATAAGGACAGTTGGAAAGCTACTGTTAAACATGGGTTGGCTAGAGACATCACAACTGAGGCATCCCACTATTTAAATACAAGGCTAGAGTGGAATGTATTGTTACAGCAATGGGACAGTATTTAAATTATCAACGACAATGTTGGGGCTGAGAAATTGATACCCAGGCTGGAGTACAAGCCAACCTTCCACCCCAGCCTCCTGCGTAGCTGGGACCACAGGCATGCCACCACACCCAGCTAATTTTTTGGAGCCCAGATTACCGGGGGGAAAAAAAAAAAAAAAAAAAAAGGAAAAAGGAAATCATCCGGAAGAGTTCCTCAAGTAACTGACTGTAGAAATGAGGAAGCAAATTAAATCACATGGAAATTGTTCTACCTGAACCCGCCCTGGAGATCTCTTGCGTGGGGATGTTTCAGAGCTAGTTCTAGGCATGGCCGGGCTGATGGGGGATTTCCTTTAAGGTGATGGGTGGGGGCATGTCCTGGTTCTGTGAGATGATCTGGTTCAGTGCCCGTGCACCCCATTCAGTTTGTTAAGGATTCTCAGCAGAACACTTGAGAGACGTGAAGCTGGACCTAGGCCCCTCCCCCATTTTGGAAGTGGGCTAGAGCCTCTACACTGCTTGCTTTCTTCCCCTTTTTCTTTCCTCTTTCCTTTCTTTCCCCTTCTTTCCTTCCTTCCCCTTTCTTTTTCTCTCTCTCTCTGACAGAGTCTTACTCTGTCACCCAGGCTGGAGTACAGTGGCCCGGTCTCTACTCACTGCATCCTCTGTCTCCCAGGTTCAAGTGATTCTTCTGCCTTAGCCTCCTGAGTAGCTGGGATTACAGGTGTATGCCACCAAGCCCAGCTAATTTTTTGGGTATTTTCAGTAGAGATGGGGTTTCACCATGTTGGCCAGGCTGGTCTCAAACTCCTGACCTCAGGTATTCCACCTCCCTCTGCCTCCCAAAGTGCTGGAATCACAGGCGTGAGTCACTGTGTCTGGCCTTCTACACTATTTTAATTGGAAACAGGACAATGAACCACAACTCATCAGCATGAGCTGAACAGGTGGTCAGTCAGGGCCTGCCCAGATGAAAGCTAATGGATAGGCTCTATTTATAAAGGCAGCAATTAATTTTAAGCATCAAGCTATTAACTTTATTTATTTATGAGACTGAGTCTTGCTCTTCTTGCCCAGGCGGGAGCGCAATGGTGCAGTCTTGGTTCACTGAAACCGCCTCCTGGGTTCAAGTGATTCTCCTGCCTCAGCCTTCCAAGTAGCTGGGATTACAGGTGGGTGCCACCATGCCTGACTAATTTTGTATTTTTAGTAGAGACAGGGTTTCACCGTGTTAGCCAGGATGGTCTTGAACTCCCGAGCTCAGGTCATCCACCCACCTCCAGCTCCCAAAGTGCTGGGATTATAGGAGTGGGCCACTGAGCCCAGCCACTTGTTAGTTTTCTAAGAGGCAGAGTCTCGCTCTTTCGCCCAGGCTGCAGTGCAGTGGCATGACCTTGGCACACTGCAGCCTTCACCTCCTGGGTTCAAACAATTCTCCTGCTTCAGCCTCCGGAGTAGCTGGGATTACAGGCACCTGCCATGACACCAGCTAATTTTTGTATTTTTAGTAGAGATAGTGTTTTACCATGTTGGCTAAGCTGGCCTCAAATTCCTGACTTCAAGTGATCCACCCACCTTGGCCTCCCAAAATACTGGGATTACAAGGCGTTAGCCACTGTGCCTGGCCAGAAATGGGGTCTTGCTGCGTTCCCCAGGCCGGTCTCAAACTCCTAGCCTCAAGGGAACCTATATCTCAGCCTCCAACATTGGTACCACAGGCCTGTACCAGTGCGCTCAGTCCACATTTGCTCATTGTCTCCTGGGTTGTCCCTCCCACGGGGTCTAGCTTGTGCGCTTGTTTAGGCACTCACAGGCCATCTTCCTCCCTCCCACTCCCCACTGTAGCCTGTAGCAGTTTAGTTTAGCAGTTTAGTAAACTGCAGTTCCTGTTTACTTGCCAGGTGCTGGGATGAGCCAGGTAGCCATGAAGCCAGCTGGGTTAAGGGAGAGACATTTAGGACAAGTGGTTGTGACAATGGCCAGGAGCTATTCAGGATGCTATGATAGAAAACAGAATAGGAGCCATCAACAGGAAGGGGGGGGGGTCAATATCAGATGGAAAATCAAGCCCCCATGCTGGCCCTAAGGTGCCAGGCTCCCTGGGAGAGGGAGGTGCTTGGAGGTTAGATGTTGGGCATCTTGATTACCTTGGGTTGTACATGGGGAAAAAAAGGCCTGGGTATCGTGGAAATGCTAGACCAGTGGTTTAGACCAGTCAGTTTATTTTATTTTATTTTATTTTTGAGATGCAGTCTTGCCCTGTCATCCAGGCTGGAGTGCAATGGTGCAATCTTAGCTCACTGCAACCTCCACCTCTTGGGTTCAAGTGATTCTCCTGCCTCATCTTCCCAAGTAGCTGGAATTACAGGGGCGCACTTCCATGCCTGGCTAATTTTTTGTATCTTTAGTAGAGACAGGGATTCACCATGTTGGCCAGGCTGGTTTCAAACTCCTGACCTCGTGATTTCCATCTGCCTCAGCCTCCCAAAGTGCTGAGATTACAGGTGTGAGCCACCATGCCTGGCCAGTCAGTTTAGACTTTTGTTGCATGCGTGCACACACACACACACACACACACACACACGCTCTCTTCCGTGTCCCACAGACCTCAGGAAGGACATCTTCAGCCGCAGCAGCCCAGGTCCTGGACTCGGCAGGATCTTCAGCCAGCTCCTCCGACAGGTCTGGAATCAGGATGGTTTGGTTTCGCTGGAAGATGAACACCTCCTCTTCCCCACAGTCCGACTGTGGACAAATGAGAGCGCTTTTTGGAGGACATGGCAGCAGGCAGAGCCCTTTACAGCCCAGCCTGCCCAGCCCTGCTGCTCAGGAGCCTCGGAGAGATCCGGTTCTCTCCCAGTCATTTTTTGCTACGCCTGGCTTCTTGCTACTGCTTAGAAATTGGCCCGGCAGCACCACCTCGTGGAGATTGGGGCTCCTGGTTCTGTAACTGTCTCACATACAGCAGGTGCTTCATTAATGCCTTGTGTGACATGAACAGGGCAGTGAGGTGGTAGCTGAAAGAGCCGAGTACAGCCCTCCCTGTCCCCTATGATGCTGAGCCATCACATACAGCTTGGTTTGTGCTCTTAAAGGGGGTGGGGCTCATACTCTCAAATGAGACTGAAGATGTGAAAACACCCTGAGCACTGAGGCGTGGGATGTCCTTAGGTACTCCTTAGCCTCACCATGCACTGGATGACGTCCGAGGTCCCAGAAGCTCTGCTGCTGGTGCCCAGGTAGGACCCAAACCAGCCTATTCCTTCTAAAACCCTTGCACTGTCTCTCAATGCCCAGTGCCACCCTGTGCACTGAGGAGCCCCTGCCTGGAGCATCTTCAGCAGGGTCTTAAACCTGCACTCATGGCTACTGGTCTGAGCATCTTTGAGGGCCATTTCAGGGACCCCATCCCACAATTGCAGAATCCCTTGAAGGCTTATCATAATGCATTGGAACGGTACCCATTCTCGGTGGGTTTTCTGGCCCTGTCCGGGCCAAAGAAGAGAGTGGAGAATAGTAGAATGGAAAAGACAGAGCCTCTGCATCAAGCCAATCTGTGTTCCAGGTCAGGGCCAGAAACCCCCTGAAAGGGTCTCCCAAGATGCCGAGCACCAATACTTGTGCTCAGAGATGATGATTAAGGCAGAGGAAAGGGTATAGAAGGAAATAGGCACCCAGAAAACAAACAATGAGTGTGGCCATGTAATTCAAAGTAAAATGACAACAAACTCCACAGGTCGGCGGGAGAAGTCTTCCGAGAAGCACTCCAAAGCTGTCCTGGTCAGTGTCATGTCTGCTCTGTTAGGAAGGACAAGGCGTCCAGGGAGAAAGCTTTTGCTTACCAAGGAGGAGTCGGAGTCCAGAGATGGGAGCTGGTCTTTGACAGCCTTGAGGATGGCATCCCAGGGCTCCATCTGGGAGTCCCAGGGAGAGCCCAGCGAGGGTGCCATACCTTCGTTGTTGGATGCCATGAGGGCCCAGGCTTCCGGAGGCCTTCTCAGTGCACCATCATCCGAGGAGCTTGTGCAGCACGTGGAGTGATAGAAGAGGGTCTGGGCCACTGAAGGTCAGAAGAGTGGGGGCTGCCTACCAGCTGTAGGAGACCAAACAGGCTGGCAGGCATCACCTCCTGCCAGTTTCTTTCTGGTTATGCAAGCTCCTGTTACTGGCACTGTGTGTGTGTGTGTGTGTGTGTGTGTGCGTGCGTGTGTGCGTGCATGTCCACTCATGCATGCAGGTATGTGTGAAACCTGCAGGTGTATCATGTATGTAGTGATATATACATAATATACAGATATATGTATTGATAAATGTGTATATGTAGATATATATAAAAGGTCATGTGTATGATATATAGGTATATTTTATATATACTCCATATAGCATAACTATTATCTTCATTTCATAGGCTTAGGGTGGTTAGTAAATAGCAGCAGTGGACTCTGAATTGGGAAATGTCAATTTCTACTACCCTATACTACCTTTTACCAAGGAACAGAAGAGAGACACCTTGTGTTTTTTGTTTATTTTGGAGGTAGGGTCTGGCTTTGTTGCCCAGGCTGGAGTGGAGTGGTATAATGATAGCTCACTGAAGACTAGACCTCCTGAGCTCAAGTGATCCTCCCACCTCAGCCTCTTGAATAGCTGGGACTACAGGTGTGCACCACCGCAAGTGGCTAGTATTTTTATTTTCTGTAGAGATGGAGTTTCCCTGTTGCCCTGGCTGGTCTCAAACTCCTGGCCTCAAGTGATCCTCTTGCCTCAGCATCCCAAAGTGCTGGGATTACAGGCATATGCCACCGTGCCTGGCTGACACTTTGGAGTCACCGATTTTTTTTTTTTCCAGTCACCACTCTGACCAGACCCTGCGTTTGTATCTTTTATTTATTTTTATTTTTAAGAGACGGGGTCTCGCTCTGTTGCCCAGGCTGGAGTGCAGTGGCTATTCACAGCCGCGATCCCACTACTGATCAGCACGGGAGTTTTGACCTGCTCCGTTTCTGACCTGGGCTGGTTCACCCCTCCTTAGGCAACCTGGTGGTCCCGCGCTCCTGGGAGGTCACCATATTGATGCCAAACTTAGAGCGGATACCCGATCGGCATAGCGCACTACAGCCCAGAACTCCTGGGTTCAAGCGATCCTCCCGCCTCAGCCCCCCGAGTAGCTGGGACTACAGGCACGCGCCACCGTGCCCGGCTGTATCTTAAGAGTCTAAAAGGAGGCGCTCCTGTTTTTCAGGAGGCTGGAGAGCTTGGGAGCTGGGGGATGAGCGTCCTCTAGAGCCAGTGTCAGGAGAACCCTAAAGCCCAAGAGGCTGCTCTGGCTTTGGCCCTGCAGTCAGTGCCCCAATCCCCAATCAAGGCAGCGGCAGGAGGTGTGAACTGGGGGCCGCTTGCTTCCTCTGTGCTTCTGGGACAAGGGCAGGTGCTCTGAACTGGGAGCAGCAGGTTGGGGGACGCAGCTGGTGCACACCCAGCGGGTGTTTTTTGTAACTAGAGCTCTGTTCGGCAATTCAGAGCACAGTATTTCTTAGGGCCACAGAAATGCCGAAGAGAGCCTCCAGAGACTCCGATAAACTCTTCAGGCAGACCCAACAAGAGGGGAGGGAACGGCATTACCGTCCAACAGGTTTGTGGGAATTAAGTGTCAGTTGCTGGAATCTGCGGTGAAAACGGACCAGACAATGCAGGGCCATGAACGCCAAGTTGAGGAGCTCAGCGCATTCAGTAAACATCACCTCTGAATAGCTGCCTTTCCGCTCCGTCTCGGAGTTGGTTTCTCAGCTTCAGCCTGTTAGCCCCGCCCCGTCCCCAGAGCCCCGCCCTGGCCCGCCTGCCACGAGGCTGCCGGTTGTTATGGCAACTAGACGCCAACGGCCTCCCGGGTCGAGATTTTAAATTTTAAAGCTGTGGAAGTAGAAAGTTCATCGCTCCGCGTCTCACCCACCCCCAGCCCGTGTTTCCCCATGTTTTGTTCAACTCCCTGTAGCCGCAGCAGGTTCGAGGCCCCTCACCTCAGGCCTCTCACTCCACTCCTTGCGAGGTCCTGGCACGGCCGTAAACAGCCTTCAGCGCGTCACTCCGGTCGCCTCCGCCCCACGAGTCGTGCCGCAATTACAGCGGCTGTTCCGTTCATCGGAAGTCTTGGTCTCAGCAGAGCATTACATTATTGGAGTGTCCCCAAGTTCCCCCCACCCCTCTTTCCGGCCTTTGCGCGTCCAGCCTCTCCTGCAACGGGATTGGTTTCCTTGGCCAGGGCAGGGGCGGGGCAGGACAAACACACCTTGCTCATTGGCTGCCGCGGGCATCGTATAACGAGCCGGGAGCAGACCGGAAGGTCCGGATGCGGAACGTGCTCATTCCACTGGGCCCGCGAGCTGCCCCGGCGTGGACCAGCGAGCTTCCTGACGTGCTCCGCGCCCTCCCGCAACTACTTCCGGGGCGGGCTACGGGGGTGGCGGCCCAGCCAGGGAGCTTGGCGGCAAGCGGCTCGCGGGTCTGGCGGCTGTGGCCCGAGGGCGGCGCGAGGCCTGAGGCCCAGCACAGGTAGGTTCCGCGGCGGCCCGGCTCCACCGCTTGCCAGCACCTGCAGCCCGCGTAGGCCCGGCGCTCCAGCGTCCAGAGCTGCACTTGCTCGCCGCGTGACTGGAGAACCGAGCCCCGCGCCGCGTGACTGGAGCATCGAGCCCCACATTTTCTTTATGTTGCTGTGGAATGGGGACGATAGTGCCCAGTGCCCCGTAAGGCTCCTGTGGGTATGCGGCCGGGGGGCGTCGGGAAGCGTCACAGCTGTGAGTTCTGGGGCTGTCGGCCAGGGAGCCACCCCAGGGCCAAGTCAGTTGAGCTTTGGGATGCGCCGGTGCCCGCTGCGGTTCCACCGGGCGAGACAGGGTGCCCAGGGGCTTTCACAGACCTCCTCTGTGGGCGTGACACCTAACCCCAGCGTCACATTTGTTACGATTTTTTATTTAGAATTTTTGTGGGTCCGTAGTAGGT